TGCCGTAAGGAGCGAGTGGGGGCAGCGGGGACGCCGCGACCCGGGCCCGGCCGGGGCTCGGCTCAGGGGCCGTGCGGAGGCGGCGGCGGTGACACAGCGGGCGACCCGCGCGAGGGCAGCACGCGAGCGACCCGCACGCTGCAGAGCCGGCTCGCCGCCCGGCCTTCCAGCGTACGGCACCGGGAGCCCCGAGACCCGCAGGGAGAGCCGTGGCACCGTCCGGGAGCAGCGCCGGTGGGTTCCCGCCGTTAGACCCGCGGGCTCCGCCGCCCGCAGGCAGCACGGCGAGGCAGAGCCGCCGCCCGCCCCTCCCGGGGGGCCCGCGGGGCCGGAGCTGCCCCTCGCGGCGGCTGCGCGCCCAGTGCGCCTGCGCGCGGCGCGGACAGGGACGTGGCCCGGGAGCCGGGGCCGGCGGAGCGGGGCTCGGCGGGGCGCGGACGCCGATGCCCGCACGCGCCGCCGCTTCCCGCCGCGGGCAGCGCTCCCAAGGTGAGGCGCGCCGGGCGCGCGGCCCCGCCGCGGGGGGCGGCCGGGCCCGGGCGGGGCGCGGCGATCGTGGCCGCGCCGTGCCGTCCCCTCGGGCGGCGGCGGGGCCCAGCGATGCCGGGGCAGCGCCGGCCGCCCACGCCCGGGCCCTCCTGGTGCCGTGGGCGGCGGAGCGGGCGGCGCTGCCGGGTGGGGAGCGTCCGCGCCGGGCGGGGTGCGGGGAGGCCGCGCTGCGCGGCCCTGCCCGGCTCGGGGGCCGCGGGGCCGGCGTGTCCCGGCCCCTCTCACCCCGGCCCGGCGCGACACGGGTGGGCAGCGGGCACGGTGGAAGCGCCCCGAGGCACCGGCCGGGGGACGGCCGCGGCTCGGCGAGCCTCCGGCGGCTCTGTCTGCAGAGGGCGAGTTCTGCCTTGGCTTATCTGCGGAACGCCGGGCCGGGAACCCGCGCGTCTGTCGTTCTTGAGCGAGATAATTTTCTGTTTTCAAATACGGTAACTCGTGCTGCATTAGCCTGAACGTGATTATGTAATGAGGCTAAAAAGTCGATAATCATGTTCTGGCTACTTACATATTCCAGGTTTAGTTATTGAGTTATGGCCGTGCTTCTGTGCTTCCATGTAACACCTGCTAATCGTCAGCATTGATAAAGCAGTTTTGTGGCAAAGGAGAAGTTGGCTTATACGATTTTCAATTTCCAGCGTGAGCTGCCATTAACACTGCCTGCATCAAAACATTGTACTCCATATCAGTCTAGGATAGCTTTCTTTTGCAAAGATCACATACAAAAGACGTAGAAAGGAGACACTAATACAGAGAAGGACAGATAATACTCAATATGTTTTACTTATCTCCAAATTATTTGCAAAAAAATAATTTTTTTAACTCCCTTTGCTTCGTGTACCTAAAGGAAATGGCAGTTGGATCTTGTTTGGTTTACTGGTAGATAGCATTAAAATGTTTTTATAAATGTGCCCGTTTATTTCTCTTCCCTTTCCCAGTGTGAGTTGACAGCTTTGATCACAGCTCTGTATTTATGCTTATAAAGATTTAAGGCTTATTTTGAAATGCATAGATGTGAGTTCTTTCTCAAGGATTAGGAGAGGAAATAGAGACAGCCAGTGAAAGAAGGGCATGATCAGAAGGAAAGCACTCAGTATTATGAGTCAGCATTGCCTGAATTTTATCAAGTGGGCTGACAGCAGCTGTAGTGATTGTCACTGAGTGTCCATCCAGCCCCACAGTACTTTGAAGAGGAACAGATGTTTGGAGAAGAAAGCTTCAACAGAACAGCCCTACTTCCTTCCCTTGTCTCTTCCTACACTCCCACAGGTTGAGACTTAAGCACTTCTTGAGCTACAGCTAGTGGCGTGGATATTTTGTTTTGATAATGTTGGTTTGTATGGTTGGGTTTTTTGGAATTGCTCTTCATATCTTTGTCTTCTGTGGACTTGTTGAATTGCTGTTGAACAAGTAAGCAGGAGGTGGTTGGAGTAGTTGAAGAGATAGGAGAAAAGCCCTTCTAGATTTATGGCAGAAGGAGGGATGGAGAAAGTGACATGCCTTAACAGTTACTGTCAGTTTATTTTCTGGGTAAGACTGATAGTAAACAGAGAAGTTCTAAAAATGGGAAGACAAGTCCTTTGTCACGAAAAAACTTTGCTTTCATGCTTACTTTGCTATTTCAAGGTTCAAATATCACAATTTAGAAGGAGGAAAACAGCTGAGTTGGGGGTATGCCTACTTAAGACTATTTACCCTTTCTTACTCTTAAGTTTCCTTATCTTGTAGAAAAAAGAAATTCTAATGCTTAAGAAACAGACAGAATGTAACATTTGCATATAATTTTAAATGTCAAGTGCATAGTTTATAAGAAAAAAAATTCTTTTCTGGTTGATCCAAGAAACAATAATAAAAACTAACCCTGAGTTTATGAATGTTGCTTTCTAAACCAGCCTATACTTGGCTTGATTATAGACTCTTAATTCTTTTTTGTAGACCCAATTAAAACAGTAACAATTTTAGAAAAGGCAGATAGTAAATATTGTAGTAATATGTAATTTAAAGTAGTGAAATGGGTTCCCTGAAATTCTTGACTGTGTCACTGAAGTTTGTAGGCAGCATGCTGGATTCAGCCTTGTGCCTTCCATGTTTGTAACACTGCCCATCACGTGTTGTAGTGTTTGGGTTCCTTTAAGCTGGGAATACTGTCTTGCTTTCATTGTTCTGATCTCTGCTCAAGTCTGTCCATTGCAGTGCATCCTTTCCTTCTCCAGCCAGTGGTGGTTGCATGGAATGGGTGGTTGGTGATGAATAGAGCCTGGGTCTTGCTCTGCCTCTGCTCATTTTACACGTGGCTGTGATGTGCTTTTGTCATGTATGTGTGTGCACAGAAGCAGTCTGCTCAGAGCAGAAGTGATGTAGTGAATTGTCACTTTTCCATAATTAGTCTTAATGTCATCTAACTGCTGAGAACTCTGGAAACTATTCAGTTTAGCCATCCAGTGGTGTTTTGGGGACAGCCTAGGAAGTATTGAGCCTGCTCTAGGGTTCAGGCAATGGATCTCCTTTCAGTCACAATGACAGTGATGATGATGACAGCGTGACTGTCAACTTTGTTTGCTAATTGCCTGTAGGAGTGATCCTCCCCAGTCCCAGTGAGGCAGCTGTATATTTGGGGTTGAAGTAAAATGCTAGGGTGGGTCTTAATTCTAGACAAGAAGAAAGGTGGTGTGATAGAATGACTGTGGACACCTATTTTTTCCTAATTTCCAATTTAGAAAGCAGCCAAAAGCCATCATCAAATATCTTTTTGTTCTTTTGCCTGAGCAAACCTTACCTTTCTCTGGTGGGTTATGTTACTTTATCATCTTGTCTGACCAGTATTGCTTTTGCTTCTATGGTTCAATCCTTTGAAAAAAAAAAAAAGAAAGAAAAAATCCAAACTTAGTATTTTGGTAGTAGGCTGTGTTCATGTATTCTGCCATATGGTAAGCTCTTGATCTTCCCAATCTCCTGAGTTTTCTTATGGCCTGTTGTCATGTCTAAATCTTAGTGATTCTTAGCATAGCATTAAATAACTGTTTGATGACATCATAACGTGATCTTAGAATTCTGACTCATCAGTATCTTATACTGCATTAACTATGTATTTTTTTTCATTGTTTTCATCATGCTGGCAGATGGGGTCAGTCTTTCAGTAGTGGATTGTTGTTGTCATAAATTACCCTGCACTTGTAGCTAAGATGTTAGAGGAGTTTACTGTTAATTTTTGTTATAGAAGGCTAAAACTATCAAATGTCACTTAAAATGGGTGTGAAAAGTTATTAGTTAGCCAAAACCTAACATTTTGCATGTACTGTTGACATAACTATTGTGTAGAAGTTAGTTTTATGTGTCTCACTTTTCATGCATTCTTCTGGATTATGTGTAGCTCAAGCAGTGAACTACTTCCAGACATAGTAAAAAGAAATTCCAGCTTCTATGCTGTCTGAAACAGCAGAGCTAAACCTCAATATTCATTGAGCAAAGTCATTTTTTTCCTCCATTAGAATGCATTTCTGGTGGAACTTTATGGGTTTAGCTGAAGTCTTAGTAAGTATTTCCCAGCCCTTAGGAGAAAGATTTGTCCTCAGTCTTTCTAAGACAAGATTGCAAAAGCAAGTTTAAATTCCATGATGAGATGTGTTAAGTTAAAATGGACCTGGGATTTTTCTGTGAACTTCTTGGTGTCAGGCTGACACAAAAAATCATCTGTGTTTCATTGATCTCCTTTCGTTCTTCCCCCGTTTTCAAAGAAGTAATCAGGCCCTTATTTGCAAATAAAAGTGCAGAAGTCAGTGGCCAACTAATCAGAACATAACTGACTTCATTTGATGATGAGCAGATACATCATTTCTCTGAAGAGCCATTTCCCTTTTCTTTATTAAATATCTAAGGAAAATTAGATTTCTCTGTCCTGTGCTCAGAGAAGGCTGCTGGAGTGCTATTACAGGCTTGAATAGCATGGAGGGAGACCCTGCCACAGCACAAAAGCACACGGCTTCCAGTTCTGCTGTAAGTGCTTGTGTAGGCAAGTCATGGCTATGGTAAGTAAATTAGTGGGCAAAATTGAATGTTACTGCAGGACCACAGATGTTGGCATGGATTGTGTTAAAAGAATTGACTACTGATGTTTGCAGCTGTGTTTATATTTGCTCTGTTTACTGGATAGCTTGGACACCTTTCCTATGTGGAAATTACTAATTAGTTATGCTTCTCACTGCTGAAACTTTTACATTCTATTTCTTGTCTGTCAGCAGCTGCAGGTTGCAATGAGTTGTAGTTCACAAGAAAGGCTGGCTACCAGTCAGTCATTTACAAACTGTTTCACTTTGTAACTGATAGAAAGGTGGCCTTTTAGCTGATCATTTGAAGGAGAGGAATATCCTGAAGGTGAGGGTCTCACCAACCTCTGTCATGTGTTTTTTTTTTCTTCTAGGAAGTAATTAATAAAGTTTTAAGTATGACCATATTGCATGAGGGACATGCTTATGTTCATTGGTTTCTCCATTAAGTCTTATTTCATACATCCCTTTGGGAAGGGAACTGTGCACAGCTTGGTAAATGAGAGATGAGCATTTTGGCTCTAACCTGCACATTGTGTTTATCTGGTCTCTGTAAAAAGGAGCATTAGACCTAGAAAATTCTTGAGCTGCTAGTATGTAAACCAAGTTGCATGGAATGGTAAGTTTTCATATATCAGATACTAAATCCTTTTAAACTTACCAATTGAACTGCTTGTAAATTTTGTATCCTTTTAAATGAAGAGTTGTGTTAAAAACATTGATTTTGATTAAGGGTCAGTGAATGTTTAAAAATAGGACTCAGTTGTTTCTCACTTCCAAAATACGGACCTAAAGCTTTGAGTAAATTTAACTGCATTTGTGCACTTTTGTTTATTTCTGTCCTAATGCAGTGTAGATGCCAGACCTGCCTCCTTTCCAGGAGGAAGCTAGGCTTTGGGGAATGAGTAGGAAAGTAAAATCTGTAGAAAGGAGCTATAATTATTAACGTGTGCTTTGGAGTGTGTAACTCTTTTGTAAGCGCCCGATGATACTTGAACTCCAGTTAAATAATTGAGTTGCATTTTACTGAAAAGTCAAAAATCCCTTAATCTTCCAATCTACTGCATTAAAAAACTTGACAAGGTTGATTTTACTTTAGCTGGTTAATCTGATTGTTGCCTCTGTTTTGTTAGTCAAGGGGATGGTCCTTCAAGTACGTGTGTGTGCCATTGACATGCTGAACCTCAAATACAAATAAATTTTGCATACTGAGGTCTAAGAGATCAAAGGAAGTTTTCTGTTAAAGGTTTTTTGTGTTTGAGTAGTCCATCAGTATTTTCTCTTGCAGCTTAAATTTTATACAATCTAAAATGTTAGACTGCTTTATCTTCTTGTTTCAGAAAGACTTGGAGAGCTAGTGTGTATGAAGTGAAATGGAAGCTAGGGAATGGTAGCCATGATATTCCTAACTATTGTTAGCTTATATCACAAGAAAAATCAGGAATATGAGCATAAGCGAGGACTTCTCACCCATGCTTTGGCAGAAATCAGTTATGAATTTTTATTGTAAAAGACCCAAATAAAGTTTATAGTGAAGCCATGTTTGAGCCCTCAATTAGGATTTTAGCTTGTAAGGGAGCATGATAGCTGGCTGACTCACCAGCTACATCTCCTGCATGTGTCATTGCCTGACTTGGTTTAATTTGTTCTCCACATATTAGAATGCTATTAACTTGGAAGCAGGAAGGAGACTGGGTCTATGGAATGCTATAAAACTGGCTTGAAACCACATATACAGTTTCAGACCCAATTATGTCTGACTTCTTTTTGTATGTAGAGTAGTATGGAGATTGCTTCCTGTATTCTGGAAGTTCCCATTTCTTTCTCTTTTCATGAAGAGATGAAATCTTTGAAACAAATGATACATACAGTAGTGTTTGTGTAAGGCTTGCAGTTATTTTTACTTTGTCACGAGGTTAGAATAATTGAGACGGTATTTCAAGATAGCTGTAATCTTTTGGGTAATCAAGATATCAAGATATAATTGTTTGATACAAATGTTCCTCAGGGAAATGCAGGAAAAAGGTAGTAAGCAAATTCAACATGTACAGTGAAATACCTTTTTAAAAGAAATCTAAATAGACTTTTTTAGAAAAAACAGGTTTTGTCTGGCAAATGCAAGTACAAGGAGTGCTAACATAATTAGGCTTTCTGAAAGGTGATGCACATTACCTGAGTATTCTCAGGGAAAGAGGCTTATACATTTGTGTGGAATGTTGCAGTCTACCTTTAGCTGACCTTACTTAAAATATTTTCTATGCACCCTCATTGCAGTATTCCTTTGAGTAATTTGGAAAACTAAACACAGTATTGTATTCCTCTTGGTAATAAAGCCCTGTGATCATCAGCTAATTAGGGATACTAAACATAAAGTTGAGATACTGAATTTTATATATTTTAGTTGGCATATATGTGTGCCGCATATCATGCATCTGTGTTTAGTATCAATACGAACATTTATTATCTTTGCAATATCTTAGAGGATGTAGCAGACAGGTCTGTGTCTTGCCTGATTGACTTATCAAGTGGCTGAGAGTTGCTGGTAGTTCTGTTTTCCCAGTGGAAACTGTGTAAGAATACAAAGTCTTTGGTAATTAAGTCTTGTGTCCCCCCATCGTTTTAAAGATCAGTGTTCAAGCTCAAAATTCACACCTTTCTTTAGGAGGGATCTGCATGACTTTAGGCAGGCAGAAGCCAATGAATAGTTCCTGTGCTCTGGGTTCCTTGGCAAGCTGGGAGCAGTGTAGCTGTTAATAGGATTGGGAGCCTGAGTGAGTGTGTCTGCTTTAGAGCTGGGAGATGCCTGCTCAGTTCCGTGTGTCCTCCTGCACAGGGTAAGGAAGATGTGCCCCTGCCTGCTTGTTTCCAGACCAGCCATCTTCAAGGGAAGGAGTTGGTGTCCCAAGAGTGGGCTGGAAGTGGCATTTTTGATCAAAATCTAGGATAAATTGACAGGTTCTCGAGTGATCACCCTCCAGAGGAAAAGCATGTTTTTACAATTGGTTGATTCTATCTTTGATCACACATCAATAATAATTAGTAATAGCTTGAGCATCCTGATGGTGTTCTTGATGGTGTGGCATACATCCCAGCCAATGTAGGTTACCTTTGTACTCTTTAAAGGTAACTTGGATTTCAGCATCCAAAAAACGCTGGGAATAAGAAGGAAACCAATTCTCTTTGCAGAGCTGAACAAGTGGCTGAGGTGAGTTGAGCAAAGAATGCTGTTCACTGGGACTCCCAGCCTGGGCTGGTCAGCTGAGCGGGGATGGAGAGCTCCCTGGACCTGGGAGGTGTTGGCACTCGGGAGGGTCTGGGCTCGAGCTCTGTGTGTGTCAATGGTTTCAGATAGATGGCTAGAAATAGTTTTGGGGTACTCATTCTCTGATACATTCTAATGCACCTCTGAGCTGCCCTGAGAAACAGTATTGTTAGGTACATTGTTATGACTGACTTAACTGCTGCCTTGCATGGTGTTCTTGACCATATATTTTTTATATTCTTCACACTTTTGAGTTAATTTTAATGCCCAGTGATATGTTGGTGAATGAATGTTAGCAAGATTTTTAGCAAGATTTCTGTCCCTACACCAGCCCCCCTTCAGTTGTCTTACTGTACAGTATAAGCCTCATCATTTATAGGCCAGATTGACCTTGAATTTTGTTTTATGCCTTAAGTCTTTCCAGTTACTTTACTTTGTGAAAAGATAAAAATTGAATGTATGGGGTTTTTTTCCTGTTTGCACCACATAGGGTATTACTCAAAATCATTGCTTTTCTAATCCTTATACCTAAGATTCTTAGAGCTGTGACTCCTAAAGCCTGCTGTGTATGGCAGTAATTTTACTGTGTTAAGATTGGCCCTGGTTCTGCCAGCATTTATTTTTGGAATTACTTGTGATATTTTAAGCAGTTTAAAGCCTTTGAGAAAATAATCAGTCTTAAGTGAGATGTATGGGTTACCTTCATTATAATGTGATTTTATTCAAAGTGAAACAGCAGTAATTTATCCTTTCATAGCAATAGTGAATAAAGGATATAGACTGAATGAAATATTAATGCATGTATTAAACTTAGAATTTTGAAACCTCTAGTAATTTTCATTCCTTTCTTTTATAAAAGATGGTGTCAAATGCTAGTGTTGGAAGCGATTTTTTTCCAAGATTATATTTAAAAGATATGTATTAGGATCTTTGTGTTTTGGGTTGTTGCAGGGTTTTTTTCCTTTTTTTCTTCTTTTTATATACCTGACTTTTGCTGTCCGACAGTGACAAGAACCAACTGGAACCTTTCTGATGCTTATGTTGGTATCTTACTATCCCCACCTGTGGTTTGCATCCTTGCTTCTGAAGACTTCCAGAAAAATTTGATACCATTTTCAGAATGAATGCTAAGCATATGGAAATTGAAAATTTCTTCTAGGAGAGCTCTTAGGTGTCATGTTGTTGTTGGAGAGTAAGTGGGAATGTTGATTACCACATGTTTGGGTTTGGCCTGTGTTGTTCTGCTTGTTTTCTGAAGGCATTCAGTGGGTCTTCTTTTTGATATGAAGGGAAAATAAAATACTGATGGATTTGATTGACAAGAAAGTTCTTTGTAGCATTGTATCCAAATAAAAGCTTCTGTTTCAGCAATCGGTCACTAAGTCTATATATTGTGCTTCAGATAAATGCACAGTGTGATGAGCTGGAGTGTTTTATTTCTGTTGAAATTTTGCTTTAATTAGATTCTATTGGAGGATCTTGGGAAGGGATTTTTATTCCCTGTAGCACAGTGTCTTTAGTATCTTAGTAATTATTTATAGGCTGTACTGCAGAATTCTTTGTGGCATTGAGTAATTCAGTGTTTTGAGGAAATCAGCAAAGTTCAAAATAAATAGTTACCAGCAACACCACTTCAGAAGTTCCTCTTAGCCTTCGTTTTGCCAAGTTTTACCATTTGCTAGGCAGCTGGCTCTTGCTCTAAGGTGCACCTGGATTTCCTCTCAGTTGGGCTGGGGAGGGATTAAACTCTTGAGTTACTGTGTGTCAAAGCCTCTCATATTTACAGATGCTGGAGGGAAGCTCTAGTGAGGGGTTCACTGGAAGATGCCTCCAACAGCTGCTCTTCTGTTCATTGCACTGGTCAAGAAGTACCAGCAGATAATGATCAGCACCAGTTAACCTTTGCTTTCCCAGGCCCACTGCTTTCCTGACTCTAGCAGTACCTCTTGCTTTTTCCCCAAAACCCTGGAGTCTGGCCAGGCACTGGCAGTGGGACTGGGGATCAAGAGCACTTGTAGGAGTGACCTGAAGAGAAAGTGAGGAGAGAAAAGAGGCAGCAGTGTGATGCCTTACTGTGAGACTTTGAGCTGTTGTGGATTTATGGGCATAGATTCTTGGTGACTGTTTTCTGCACACTGGCAATGTAAAGGATTCTTGGTGTACATCAGAAATGTGGCACCCCTAATCCTTGTCCTGGCACTTTAGGGATTAGTGAAGGTGAGCAGTGGGTGGTCTGGGGGGTTACACTGATATTCTGCTTCAGTGTCTATCAGTAAAGTAGTTGATTGATTCTATATCTATATTTCTACAGTTTCTGTGCCATTATTTTAGTTTATCAAGATGTTTTAAAATAAGCTTTTATTTCTATTTATTTTTATAATGGAAAGTCGGAGCTGATCCTGGATCCTGTGGTATTTCTGTACTGCAGAGATGAGCTCTGTGAGTATACATCAGGAGTTTCTCGGGGTTTGTCTTTGTGGATTAGCAACATACTTGCATGTTCCTTCTATAATACTGTATTGCTGGTGATGCTTGTGTTACTTCTGACAGCCTTGGGCTCCTGGAGAAATAAATAATCTCGGTGTTGCTTTGTGCATATTGTATATTTTTTCCTTTGTTGGATGCAGCAGGTTTGCTGGAAAAAAGGAGTTTAAAAAGGACAACTTTTGCATCCTGTTCTTTGTGTCAATGCAGGTGGCGACAGACAAGGTTGCAGGCAAGCTGAGCTCCACTCTCTCATGGGTGAAGAACACGGTGTCGCACACCGTCAGTCAAATGGCCAGCCAGGTGGCGAGTCCATCTGCCTCCCTCCACACCACATCCCCCTCCACCACTCTGTCCACACCCGCCCTCTCACCATCCTCACCGACACAGCTCAGCCCTGACGACTTGGAATTACTGGCGAAACTTGAGGAGCAGAACAGGTGAATGGAGAACTTTTTGCTTTTCGAAGTCCAGTAATGAGACTAAAATTGGTTTGTTGCAATTGTAGCGTAGAGGCTGTTAAAGGGGAATTAGTTAAAAGTTTAATGGCACTGCACTTCAATTTGAAAGCCCGAAGGTTTAAGAATTTGTATTTTTGTGCTGTGTTTTTGCAAGTTATGTTTTTGTGAAACTCTAGAAGGTGTTTTTCTCTATTGTTTTTACAGGAGTGTTTACAGCTGCCTCTAACAGTAAGAAATTATACTATGATTTTTAAAACATCTAATTGAAAGTAAAGTATCCCAGGGATGAGACTTGTGTAAAACCTTCTTACCTTCTAAAATCATAACTATAATTTCTATCAATTTCTTGAAATCTTAAATCTTTCTCAATTCTTTTTTTTCCCCCACTTTTATCCAATTCTTGTTTCAGCTACATAACCTGCTATGTAGAGAGACCAGAACCATGTTCAACCACCTTCTTACTGTTACACTAGTGGTGCCTGGTGCATAATATCTTAAATTAATTAAAAGTAAATTCCTGATCAGTTTTTTTGTGTCCATCTTGCCTTTTTATGTATAGAAAGAGTTTTCATGGTAGTCTTTCCATATGCCTCTTTATCTGCACCTTGTACAATTGAAGATGCAACTTTCAGGTGAATCAGTTGCTCTTGATGTGTGCGGTGATGCAAATTCACAAGATCACTAAGAAATGAAATTGGATTATAGAATTTCTTAATGCTGAATTTCCAGAAGCCATACTCATTTGCACTTTTGAGGCAGGACTCCTAAGTCATCTGTCCTTCTGCAAAATCTGGTTATATTTGACAAGTATGTTTTAGTAATTTTTGAGAGGTTGGCTGTTAACTTGAGCTCCAAGTAGATTTTTAGACTTGGCAGTTAGCTGCAGGGCTTTGTTACCTACTGGAGATGGCTATCCCTGAGCTGTAGTGAAGGTTTGATAATTTAGCTCAAACTAGCTTCTGTTCCAGCTTCTATGAGATTGCTGGCCTTTGCACTGAAGCAGTTGAGGTACTCTCTTTTTGATTGGTTTGGGTTTTCTTTGGAGGCTTTTTGCTTTTGGTTTTTTTGGTTGGTTGGTGGGTTTGGGGAGAGGAGGTTTTTTGTGTGGTTTTCTTTGGTTGTGTTTTTTTGTGTGTATTTTTTGTTTTTTTATAATATTCTTATTCTTGGTTGGGAGGGGTTGTTTGGTTTGGGGTTTTGTTTTTGTTGGTTTGTTTATTTGTTTGGTTTTTTCCCTGCTGAGTCACTTCTGAGGGTAGTAACTTTCAGTGGAGGAAGCGAGTAACTGGGGGGAGGAGAGGCAATGCCTGTGTGTCACCAGGCATGTCTTCTCCCATGTCTGCATTCTGCAGCCTGGTAGCACCACAATTTTAAGGGAATTTGATACATCTGTCCAGATTTTGACAATAGAAGGAAGCTTCTAGAACCACCTCATACACTCTTCCTTGTCTTCAAAGATGAACTCCATTTAATTTTTGCTGTGCAAATGAAAAATTATCAAAAGAAGCAGAAAATGGTTAAATAGCGCTTTTTTAGAAAGCTAATCTGCATTTAATCTGAGGCTTTCTGGTCTGTTCATGACTAGAACAACTAACTTGTATTTGAAAAGCAAACTGTTCTTTGGACTGCTTATCTATGTTGGACTATAATGTCTTTACATCTAGAGCCTTCTCATTAAGGCTTGCAGTCAGACTGCTTGGCTTGTTGAAAGAAGAGCGTGAGCTTGGGCTTTCTGTCTCAAGTCAGCTTTCTTCATTTAGTAAGTCAACTGGCCAGTCTTGTCTGGTTTTATTTCCTTTTAGCCAGACTTGCTGTTAGTCCCACACTAGTCTTGTGTGTGAATGCTGTTTGGAGCCTGCCCTATCCAGTGTGTCCTTGCTGGTGAGGTACTGCCCTTTAATGCTGAAATTCGATGCTCTTTGCTGGCTGCACTGTAGTTTGAGAACAGTTTGCATCTGCAGTTTAGCACAGTGGCACTTTGTTGACAATTGTACTCTGTTCACAGGGAACCATTCTTTCTGCTTGCTGGAAGAATTGCTGCTGTGGATGTTTGTAAAGTTTTGGGGTTTTTTGTAAGCTTTTTTGTCAGAAGGAGAATATGAATTAGGTAACAGTTAGAAAAGGGAAGAACTCAAATTGTTTCAAGCTATGTCTTGTAGCATTCTGTAATCTAATTATACTGAAAGTCCCCACAGAATAAAGAGGAAGCTCAGTCCAGAGTCCTGGTGGAACAGTTTGGCATTAGTAAATCATTTATAAAGTTTTAAATGAAAGAAAACAGTGACTAAACGTCACAGAACTTGCGACTTACTGTGAACAGAACTTCCTGTTTTCAAATCTAAGGACAATGAGTTTATCCAGGTAAGGTCTAATTACAGAAACTTAGTATAACTTCTACAGAAACCTGTGAAAACTGGAAGTGTCTTATTAGAACTTTGTTTTTATAATATTAATGTTTATTCTATGCTTTTTCCTCTGTGATTACTTTGAATTTGGTTTTGAGCCATTGTCTTGGATTGAGAGAGTTTCAAACTAACTTTTCATTATGGATCAGTATAAGCCAGGTTTCTAAACATTTGAAGTGGATTTTTAAAGTATTTTCTTTAAAACTAGATTTTATGCATTCCATTAATAAATGGAAAATTATTTGAATTTTTTAAAATAAAATCCCAAGTGAAAATTTGTCTTGAAAAGGCTTTTTTTTTCCTTTTTTTCATCATTTAACTCTTCCAAACAAAATACTGCTGCAGAAACTATGCTATTTATCTTAATGAGTTAAATTACTTTTTCCCTTGCTTTCATAAACACCAGTAGGTGAAAGCTGGGGACATGGAAAGCTAGTATAAATAACTTCATTGTAGCAGAGAGCTTAAATATTGTAGGTATTTCTGTATTATTAAATATTAGGTATTTCTGAGATTTCTGTACCATCTCAGATACAATATCCTTTGGGCTACAATTTGTTAAATATCTAAAACATAACCTGACCTTGCTGAAATGCTGGGGGATTAACTTTTGTACTAATTTTTGAGAAATTATTCAACTACATGACTCTGATTTTGGAATTCTTAGAAGTTAAAGCACAAATGAAACTCATGGTATAGTGAAACACTTCCAAGTCAGTCTGAATTTTTGCTCTTAACTAACACATGGTCCAAAAAATTTCCCCTGCTTATGGGGCTCTATATTAGTGGAGGATAAACAAAGCATTGCCTTCTTGCCAAGTCCATGGCCACAGCAACCAGCTCACAGGGAGGTCTCCTCAAGAACTCGTCTGACGCTTGACACACCTTTGTTTGTACTTTGCTGCTGGGCAGCCCCAGAGGTTCTCACGTTTAGCTCCTCGCTTTAATGGCACATTCATTAGCTCTACTAGTCACTTGTGTTGCCTCGTCCTTGGGCTGCAGGTCTGGGATTTCTCCCTGTGTTGATTTGTGAAGAGTTGTCAGCAAGCATCAGTTGTTTTAAAATTGCTTCAGAGGTTTTAATTGTTCTGTTTTTATTTATACTGTCAATTTTCAAAAAGTATAATCAGGTAGACTTATAGGAGGTTAATTTTTTGTCTTCTAAATGACTATTTTTTAAGTTCTGTGACACTTGATGTTATTATTGAGAATATTTAACTTCCTTAGGTTTTCTTTGTGAGTCTGATGCATGACAGCTGTGGGTGACATTTTTATCTGTTTCTTAAAATGCTGCAGTGTGAACTGTTCTATCTGCGGATTTGCTTGAGATCTCAAGAGAAAGCAGTAACATTGAATGGTTCTTTTCACATTTAATCCAAATGAATGCTGGTGAAACTGTTTCACTGAACCTCTTGTGCGTTCTTTGTCAAGAAAACAATTAATAGTGCCATCCTTTGATTAGAAGAACTTGAATTTGGTTTTTATGTGCTTTCTTTGCAGACTCTTGGAAACAGATAGCAAATCCTTACGATCAGTAAATGGGTCAAGAAGAAATAGTGGCTCTTCCCTTGTATCTAGCTCATCAGCTTCTAGCAATCTCAGCCATCTTGAAGAAGACTCGTGGATCCTGTGGGGGCGGATTGTGAATGAATGGGAAGATGTACGGAAAAAGAAAGAAAAGCAAGTTAAGGTAGTTGGGAACTGGTTTTTGGATTTATTTTTAATGTGATATAAGTGATACTGTTTTATCTTTGTGATGGGCTTATTCTTTTAAAATTACTATGTAATACAAACTTCCAGTTGAATCTTTCCATCCCTAAGCCTTGGTACTTCCTTTGTAACCTTCCTGTGTGCTGTCACCCAGCAAATGTCTCCTGCTGAAAACCAGATACATTTACTGTATCCTGAATACGAAAGCTTTCAGTTTACCTCTGATGAGAGATTTCCATGAATGCAGGGATGATTAGCTTCATGTTTCCAAAAATGGAATTACTGAAGATCAGCAGAAGGGCATTTGATAGCTTGATGCTCTGATTCCATATGTGTATGCTGTATGGTGAGCAGCTCTCTTTAAAGCATTTTTAACAGGGGAGCTGATAATTCTACTCCAAGGTTACAATGAGTTTAGGTTTTGTGCTTGCCAAGTATGTTGACCCCAGAGATGACCTTAGGCAGAAGAACACATAGTTTGTAAATTCTGGATGGATTGGATGAACTTTGTCCAGTGTGTCCAGTCTGGGTTAGTCGTGGTCATGTACAGAAGTGGGGTTCAATTACACTTTAAATTCAAACCAAAAAGCATTTAGTGCATTTGAACATATCCATGTTTCAGTGGCAGCAAGCAGAACAGCGTGGGATTTTTTTGTTAGCAGGCAAGTCTGTTCTGCTTTGGTTCTTTATTGGCTGTAGTCTGCAGTTTTATGTGCAGAATACAAATGTGTCAGGGTCTTTTGAACAGTTTGAAATGTGTGTCTATGAATAGGTTGTGGGAAGGCAGAACAATGGGCTAAAGTAAAGTATCTTTTGTATGGAGCAGTTGTGAAGAGAACATGACTTGAGAGAGGAAACAAGGGAAGAAAATGAACTAAAGATTTCTTGCTTGCATAGGGAAAGCAGTTTCTGGAAAGGTGTTCCAAAAGGCCGTCAAAAGGCCACAGGAATCTGGCAAGAGAAAGGAAAAGTGAGGTGGTAATAAGAAGACCTGGTCAGTTAGAATTTGTTTGAACATTTTCAAGTGTCACAAGTGTCACTTGTTTTTACAGCTGCCCAAGTCCAATTTGAGGAGTATTTGACTAACTCTCAGGGAATATGTAATTATATTACTGACTAATATATTGAAAACTAGCCACATTTTCATTTGCTGTTAAATAATTCTCAGTATTTTTTTTGTTGAAAGTCAACCTTAACTGTGAGTCTGCATTTATGATGGAATATCAGAACATCCACATCTATTCCCTGATTGTGCCAGTAGGTAAATAGGTAGCAGCATAGGTGTCTTTTTGTCCTGGCTGTAAAAGCTGGTCTTAGGTTATTAGAAATCTGGTAAGTTTCTACATTTTAGGCATAAGTGTCTATACCTGCCTCCAAAGATGATGTGTTCCATCCTTTACATCTGTCAATTCACTTCAGAACTTGCTTCTTGTTTATGGAACACTTCTGTTTATGGAGTCCTGCTGTTCAGTTCACATGGCATGGCCAGTAGATGTGTTTCCTGCTGTTCCTTTTAGGAAAGTTGGAGGGGTTAACTCTGCTATTCTGTCAAGGAGGTACATTAATGACGCATTAGCAAGAAGTTTCTTGCTTTATTAGTGCCCTTGAGGCTTTAGATGGCTGATGTACAGTCCAGTTGTGTTGTTGGCGAAGGATAGGTAGATACAGTTGTGTAAAGCTGATGTGTTAGGGTTCTTGTCTTGGATTGGGAATCTTTTAGGAAAAACACCTTGGTGTTACGTTGTAGACACGAGAAATAGTTGGAGTGGCATTACTATGGTGGTTCTGAAGAAGGATGGGTTGAGGACTTAGGTATATTCACAAATGGAGGTCAGTGATGCAAAACTGCAGCAGAGTTTGAGCTTAAGAAAAACAAAACTTGAAACGAAGAGACTCTTTGAAAGTTATCAGTGTTGCATGAATTAATTGTAATGTTGGAGAAGTAGGAGAAATATGTGGAGCAAACAGGAAGAAGTGGAAGCTTTGTAGAATAGGAGGCTACTCTAGCTTCAGAATAAATAATAATGAAAGAAATTTAGCCTTTAGGAGACTGAATACTTGATAACAATTCTTAAGGTACAAAAAGGAAATAGTCTTGAAGAGACAATTTTCTAGGTCAGACTGATTCTAGTTGCAGAACATACCACCAAGAGCCTCTTAAATTCCTGAATAATGCTTCTTTCTCAGTTTTCAGATCAAGCAGCAAGACTTCTTGTCCTTGTGATTTCTTAAAGGACAAGTAACAGGTTCTTAGCTGTACTCATCTGGGCATGTTTGAATTGTATAATACCTAGCAGAATTTTTTTTCAAAAGCTAAAGTAAATTTAGTTAATTTAGTAGGTGTAAACTTAATGTTTTCTTGGTGCAGTGTCTGAAACTGCATTTAAATACTTTCTTAAAAGATAACTTGAAAATCCTGGCACACCACAGAAATTGGACACAACTTGTCAAGTTTGTTAAATGATAGCTGTACTGTGCAATTTTTTTGTTGCAGTTGACTGTGCTACAGTTAGTTCTACTTTTTGTCATTTACCTATCTTGGAAGTAGTTTTTAGTCCTGATTTCTTAGGTCTCAATGACTATGAATATTATTAAAGGTGTTATCTGCAGTAATCTTTCATGAAATATAGACATTGTATTAAGTTCTGTTTAATGGAAGTTCTTGTATAAAATTATTTGAATATTTTGTTTTTCATATAGCTTTCCATGGGTAAGGAACTATTTTCAGTAGCTAATTTAACCACTAAAAATTATTCAGAGACTGCTTACTTTTGTGAACTTAATAATCCCACTAAATTTGACATTATAAACTGTATGAGGAGTTTTTGCCATGATGTAATTTTTTTTTTAATTGTGAGGAACTTGATTTCAAGCTGTTTTTTCTCTAGGTTTATTTTTTGTAATATTTTCAGGAACTATGAATTGTCTTTTTGTGCCTTAGGAGCTGGTTCGAAAAGGGATACCTCATCACTTCAGAGCAATTGTTTGGCAACTTTTATGCAGTGCTCAAAGCATGCCAATTAAGGATCAGTATTCAGAGCTTTTAAAAATGACATCTCCTTGTGAAAAATTAATAAGAAGGGACATTGCTAGAACATACCCTGAGCATGATTTTTTCAAAGAAAAAGATAGCCTTGGGCAGGAGGTCTTGTTCAACGTAATGAAGGTGAGTTGATTTCAGCCCTTGAGAATGTATTAGCAAGAGCATGCACCAGCTTGGATTGCCTTGTATATAGAGAACTTGCACTGGTTTCATGTGTTAGGAGGTCTTTTTTAAGCCACAGACACTGGGATAGTTTAACAAATCCCATTTTAGTTTCGATGGCATTGCTGTAAGTTTTTTTATATCTCACAAGGTAAAACCAATTTGGCATTAAAACAAAGCCACATGCTGACTGCTGATTGTGCAATGGAATGAAGTGTGCCATGAATTAAAGTAAACAGCGTTGCCCAAGACAAGAACATTGGCAATCAGAGCTAGTATTCAGTGTGCAGGTATTTCTGAAGTGCACATGGCAGGCACAAGCTAATGTGCAGTTGTTCCAGTGCCCAAACATAAAATGAAAATGCCAATGTAGCATTGTTTGCATCACTTAGTCTTCACTAGAGATTAAACTTTGAAGGTCAGACTTTTCCATAGAACATGGTTTCAATGGAAAAGTTGGCAGGTTTCCAAACCATAGTAATTTCCATAACTCTAAAACAAAGATGCTACCTGCATGGAGATCACCACATTTCATCCATCTATAAATAAAACTGCAACACGTATTTTTTCTGAAGACAACTTGTTTCATTGTCTGGTCTGTCTCCTATAAAAGTAGTACTTTGTGAGATTTGTATGCCAGTGGTCTCTTTTATCTTTTACCAAATTCCTGTAGTTGAAAACTGCCTGTGTTTTTGATAGGTAGGCCTTAGTTTAGCTTTGTATGTATGTGCTCAGAGAGCAGAGTTTGTGGCAGCAGGTAGAAACTAGAATGTCTGACTAAAATTTCTGGATAGGATGTCTGCCCTTGTTGGATTTGGGGAGAGGAAGAATAAGTTATTAACAAGATAGCAGGATAAGCCATGATTAATTTTATTGATAATGAGGTTTTAATTGTTGATAGTTTTAACTTTATTTTTTAGGCTTACTCTTTGGTGGATCGTGAGGTTGGATACTGTCAAGGAAGCGCTTTTATAGTTGGATTACTGCTTATGCAGGTAAAATATTTAAAAATATGTGAACTCTTTAAATCCATGCTAGAATGCATAATATATTGTGGTGGTCTATTGGGAATTTTTGCAATGCTTTTCCTTCATAATTTTGTTACATTGGAGCTGTCAAGGGCAGGTGTTTAGTCTGGAAATAAAATGAGATTTACTTTGTGTCATTCTATTTGCCAAGGTACTTGTATTGGAGTGGGAGAATGTATTTGTTTTTCAGAGCTAAGGTAGGATTGCAGGCTTGGAAGCTATTTTGGTGAGTGATATTTCAAAAATAAATGAACTTCTTATTTCTCTTCTATTACATGGAATCTCCTCAGAGTTCAAATGAAACTAAGCAGTTGACTTGATTATCTTAAAGCTTCCTTTGTATTATTGGTTTTTGGTTTATGACAAAGTAGGCTATATAGTAAAAAACTTACAGACCTCCATTTCAGTTGAGAAATTATTTGCTAGAATTTAATATATACAAAAGTTAATTGGAGTAATTGGCTGTAAATCCCTTAAACAAAACAAAAATCTCAAAACAAGCAAAGCAGCAACCAAGAAAAAAGCTCTGCTGTGTGCACATGCACACACACACAAAACCCCAACCCTAAATCCTCCAGGCATTTACTCTGATATATCATTATGTTTGTCCAGAGTTTTTACTGTGCTTTTTTGTTTTTGATATAGATGCCAGAAGAAGAGGCATTCTGTGTGTTTGTTAAATTAATGCAAGATTACAGACTACGAGAACTCTTTAAACCAAGCATGGCTGAACTGGGCCTTTGTATGTACCAGTTTGAATGCATGATACAGGTACATACAAAATTATCAAACTTGCTCTTCAGTAACTATTAATAAGGAACTTGGGAGTTACAGCTCAAGAGCAGGCATGTCTGTTGGCTAACAGGCTGCACTCTTGACAATGCTGGTTTCAGAACTTCATAAGTAAATGCATGTGGCTCTGAGAGCAATTTTTTTTAACCTTTGGCAGGCAGTGACTGGCTTTAAACACTGAAGCATGAGGATTTGTATTGCTGCAGTTTAAGCAGATGGATGTTTAATTCTGTTTGGATTGAAGACTCTGAAAATCAAAGTCTTCATAGTCAATTTATAGTATCTTAAAAGATGAAAATTGGGAGATAGCCTCATATCTAGAATTGAAATTGTTTTCAGATTTGGAATGCAGGTTCTTCCTGATGAGGCTGATGGAAAAAAATAGGTTTCTGTTTTGTGATCTGGTTTCTAACATAGTTGTCAAGGGTGAAATATCACATAGCCTTAGAGTTTTCAGCTCTTTTTAGTAGCCCATTCTAGTTATTACTCAGGGATTTACAAGCTTGACTTGCCCTTAGGATCAGGAAGTGTTTTTGTTATCTGCTTTGCAGGGTAGACATGCATGGTTCTTGATAATGATGAGTCGTATCTTTCCTAGTCCTGTTGCTAGTACAGACAGCTCCTATCTGGACTAAGTATCAATTACTTTCTTGTATTCAAAATTTGTCAAAAACACATCTGCACTAAAACTACAAGCAGAAGCTTAACATACTTATGTATTTTATTCCTCTTCTTTTCCAGGAACATCTTCCGGAGCTTTATGTGCACTTTCAGTCTCAGAGTTTTCACACTTCTATGTATGCATCGTCATGGTTTTTAACTATATTCCTTACAACTTTTCCACTACCAATTGCAACGAGAATATTTGATATCTTTATGTCTGAGGTAACTACTAAATGTAGTCATATGTTATATTTCAAGAGTAGCTGTTGAGAGCAGTTATTTAGGTAGTGGTAGAATCCCATCATGATGGACAAATCTCACAGTCTTGCTTTTTATTTCTTATGCTGATCAGATTATTTTAAGGGAAGGTGTCTGTGTGTGCAGTTTGTCAAGGAAGAGCAGCCAAGTCACTGAATGTTGATATTGTGTGTAGCTTTGTGCTCTAAGCCTGTTGAAGTGTTCCCAAATATGTTTTTTCTGGATGCAGTGCATTAGCATTGCATGTAGCAGGGATATCCATTCCTCAGTATTATGGTGAGTTTGCAGTGGAAGCTAGTGCTGCTTTCAGGTCAAAGTTGAAGTACACTGGGGATATGCAAGCCAAGAAGGGGGAGTGTTAGTTCTTTTTATTGTTCACATGATGATGGGTGCCAAAGAAATTTAGGGAATTATTCAGTGTCATTATCACAAAGACACCTATGCTGTGTTTAGGATTAGAGCTTTGCACAAAAAAAACATAAGCTATGATTTGGAACTAGTAACAAATCTTAGCTTATGCTTGCCCTGCAGTCAGCTTTGAGAAAGCATTAAGTCAAAGGTGGATCCTTTCAGCTTGTCCCCAGCAAAGTCCAAGATGGGGTATGTAGTGAGACATTCCTTTTTTTTCCCAGTAGTTTAACTGCATTGTACTGTGTCTGAAATTAAAATAGCTTTTGTGAGAAGTACTGGGGATTTTTCTACTAGATATACTTAAAATGGTGGATAGAGCTGACCTGGGAGAATTCCTGTCACTTGAGACTTTGCCTCATCACTAACTTCTCTGAGGGAGATGTCTGGCATCAGGACAAATAGCCAGATTGCTTGTCCTTGGAATAAAAACAGAAACGCAGAAGCAATTTGTTGAGCGATTTTTTCAGTAGCCCTTTTACTTGTGCTTAGTTGGGTGAGATTTCCAATGTTAGTAAATACTGTGCTGTTGACAATGGCATGAATAATTGTTGAATGTTTTTTGACTTCTCTTTTCAGGGTTTAGAGATAGTATTTAGAGTAGGTTTAGCATTACTTCAGATGAACCAGGCAGAATTACTGCAACTTGACATGGAAGGAATGTTACAGGTAAGCTATGGTTATAATAATTTTAAGAGATATCTGAAATGTGCAATGTGTGTATTTCCTTGCAGCTGTTAATTACATGTAATCTTGTGCTCTGATTACTTTTAGCACTTTCAAAAGGTCATTCCACATCAGTTTGACAGTGGTCCAGACAAATTAATCCAAGCATCTTATCAAGTCAAATACAATGCAAAAAAGATGAAAAAGTAGGTATTACATTTTGAGAAAATACATTATACTGTTGCTGAGTTACTGTTTGTTTACCCTTAAGAATTGTTATTCTGTGTTTCATTTTGAATTTTTAATCTTTACATTTTTAGGGGATTTTATAGTATATAAACACTTAAAACTGCAGCTCTGTCTGCAAAAAAATGATTCTAAAGTAGTATTTGCTATTTTTCTTAAATATAATAAAGCTATAGCTCATTTACAAAAATAACTAAAAAAGCATTTGAAGAAAACTGTGAGTTATGGGGAATTACAGCACTTCTGTAAAAAGGAACTGAATAGGAAGGTTAGGTAGGGGGTGGTTTTCTCCTCTGGTGGGAGGGGAGATTGTTTTTGTTTTGTTCAGGGTAAAGGAGATGAAACTTTTTTGATCTGGCCTAAATTCTGAAGATTTTAGTTCTCAGGAGCTGGAAGAATAATTATGGTGCTAAAGAGCGCATTTATAATCAAAATTAGTGCTGTTGAAAATGTAAATTGATAAAACTTTGTAGTAACATTGACAACAGCAAAACAACTTTCATGTGGGGTTTGAAATCTTGAGAATACCAGTCCTTGTTGTTGTTAAGGTTATTTGCATGTCTCTTCTGCCTTTGGTAAATTCTGTTTTGATTAGCAAGCTGCAGATAGTGTGGTTTGCCAGGGTTGAGTTTGTTGGGTCACTCATTGGTTGTAAAGTATCCTGTGTTCATTGTTGCACTGCTGGCTGTGTCCAGGGTCTTCCAAACTGAATTTGTCAATCTTTTTCTTTTATTTTTCTGTCAGCAGCCTATTATCAGTAGAATGAGCAGTCTTCTCTAAAAAAGGAGTAACAACAAAGCTTTCAGGAAAAATATTTTCTTTGCAAACCAGTTCAAGTGTATGCAGTTGAAAATCCACCATTCCAAGTCTGAACTTCCTGATCTGCTTTCTGTAGAGGCATTGTTATCTCAGCTTGTGGGTTTTTCTTGCTGTCTTTTTCATTTGGTTTGCTGGGGAAAGGCTAAAATTGGTTCATATTTAAGGTATTTTTTTCAGATTTCTTTGCATCTTTGTCTTCCAGGCTTTCCAAGCTCTGATTTCTTTTGGCTGAATCTATTGAATTGATGACTGTATTGCATAAAGGGGTTATTGCAGAGTAGCTCCAAATTGCTGCCACTGTAATGTATCCAGGCAAGCTCCTGCACTTCAGAATGCTGGTTCAGTGTGTTCATATCTACTGAAATCTGTGTTAAATTTAAGGTCCAGTCTAAGCATTTACAGGCGTGCATTTGAGAGGAAATATCAATAATCTGTGTCTCTGTTCTACTGTTATTTGTTAGGTATTACACCAACAAGTAAATTATCTGCAATGTTTCTGATCATAATTTACTATTTCTAATTTTTAGGCTAGAAAAAGAGTACACTACAATAAAGACAAAAGAAATGGAAGAACAAGTCGAAATTAAAGTAAGGAGCCCTCAACAAATTTATTTATGAATAAGTTTAATTCCTAGATGGGGGGATTACGTGTTTGATCTCTGCAGGTAGCAGGACATAATTAAGGCCCCCAAATTCTTTTCTTTTAGCATTTATATTTGGGATGTCTGTTCCTAAAGGACACTTACAGTGAAATTATTGAGACTTATGGTGGACATTAAAAAAAAATCTTTGGGGACCTTCTGTACTTATTTTTTTAGTATTTCCTGATGACAGAAGCTTAATAATAGATGCCCTCATTTGTCGGAGGTTCCAAATATGCTGGTTTAGATGTAGGTGCTCCACACAGGAGGTTTGTATGACACATGTTAAGATAGACTTCATAGAGTCCACTTCACTGGTTTGTCTTTGATTTTAAGACCTTGATTTTTCTTATGCATTGGACTCAAATTGTGGCATCTTCTGTCTGCAGCCACTTTTTCTTTTGGAGCTTTTGCAGTTAATACAAACTGGGGGAAAAAAGCCAAGCTGCCAGTGGCATTTATTTTTCCCTTTTTACTAACTGACCTACTTCCTGTATGTACCTAATCACTGCATCTTTTTGCTTTTGTGACATAAATAGGCTTTTGATGCCTTTTTTCCCATTTCACTTTTTCACAGCATGCTATTTGATCTGGATTTTCTTCCTTGTGGTTTTAGCCAGTTCTGTGAGAAAAGACAATGGGAGAAATGATGTGCAAGTGTATTATATAAAAGTTTAGTGAGGGAGTTAGGTACAGCCTTCCTTTCTCCTGTCCACTGCTAGTCATTTTGCCTTTCAATGTCAGTTTTTGAGGCATCAGTTCTTCAGAAAAATGACTGTGAGATGCACCTGGGAGCACAAAGGTATTAGGAGCCTTTTCAGGCAGTTTGTTATTGCACCAGGCAGTGAGGCAGTTAGCAGCAGGAATACCTGCTGTAACAGCAGCTGAAATCAGATTTGCAGGGCTCAAATGACAGCTCTCTGCAGAACAGGACAGAGTAAAACCATGTGAAAGACAACTGTAACTTTAGATTCTAGTATGTTAACTCTTTTCAAATCCTTTCTTGTTTCTTGCCACCATTCCCCCCAAAAAAAGGAGAAAGCAAAAAACCCTTACTAAAACAAAAAGCATGAAGCCCACCCCAAGAAAAAGCAACCAAAAATTTGTGCAAAAAACCCCAACCAAACAACGCAGAGCTACCTGTTTCTAGGCCCTACTTTGAGACATATGTAAATAATTTCTGACTTAGCAGAGCTTCTTAGCAGAAGAGACTATTTTAGGGGAGATAGAACCGTATTTTGAGTTTGCCTTTTAGCCTGGCAGAATAAAGCATTTACTGAACTGATATCTAATCCCCTCTTCTGAGGGGTACGGATCTTTTCTGTCTGAATGCTGACTGCTAAAATTTTACTGCCAAAATTAAGGGGAGTGCACTTGTAAAATATAGGGTTTGGTAAAATTCTTGCTGACTTCTGGGACATTTGAGGTAATTCTCAGTATAGCCTTACTATAGATTTATAGATTAATATAAATTCTTATGAAGGAAACCTTGTAGCTGCCTCACTAGGCTGTCCTGCTGCAGGGAGTGCACTGTCATGTCCCTTAACCATGAAGACTTTGACCCTGTTTATGAAGGGGAGGCTGTCCAGTCTGGTGTGGGTTAAACCCCATACAGCTTTCAGCAAATACAACATAAAAGCTTTCACATAACATGAGATGTGTTCTCGTTTTTGCTGTACCAAGCTGGTTAAACTCATATTTCGAGCTAGTGCATAATATGAAAGGATGTTAAGAAGGTCACAAATTATTTTTGTATTTATACTGGTTTTCATGGATGTGATGAGATAAAAGTGTTGGTAGTTTGCTTTGCTTTTATCAGACTTTCAATTCATAACTTGAGAAATGGATTTGTGAACTGTTTACCTTCCAGAGGTTACGAACTGAAAACAGACTCCTAAAACAGCGCATCGAAACACTAGAAAAAGTAAGTATGTTGGGGATTAGATTTAATCTCTGTTAATTTAGACTTTATTAATGGCAACTTCATTATATGAAATGGGTATCTCAGAATTATAGTTTACTGTTTTCTTGATAATCTCTGGTGTTTACTAGCAGTGCTTAGCCAAATAACATGGTTATCACCAAGCAATTAAAGTCAGTGCTTTAAATATGTAAGGTTATGTCTGCTTCTTAGTGATTATAAAATCAAACATTTTGACATACTCAGCTTGTGTTGTACTGTTTTCTTTCTGAATTAGAAGCATATGTTCAAAGTCCAGAAGACTCCATGAATAGTGGACTCTGGTTGTTTGGAAAAAAGGTCATTGTGAGAGAATCCTCAGTTTTGAAAATCTGAAGTTGCTTGGTGTTTTTATGTAGGAGCAAAATGACAGACCTACCAATGACCAGAGGGATGTTGCAGCACTCATACTGAGAACAGGAGCACTGCCATTCATTCCTTCTATGTGGTTTTGAGGTTTTGTGGCAATTCTGGGTACCTGGTGGGGAAATATCCAAAGACTTATTTCTCTTATATTTAGTCTGGAGTAGAGTTTTGTTAGGTTTTTTTGTAACTGACTGAAACCTGAAAAGTAGGCATGAGGACTGCTGTGGATACATGTCCAACTGTTCTCCAGTGGCCTCTGCTGTATCCTGGTATCACACTTCTGTGGCAAATTGCATCTGAGCTGCTCTGCTCAGGAATGAGAGCATTCCTGCCCTTCTTAAGCACCAACAGGGACCATCTTTCAACAAATGGGATTGAATGCTCTTATGAGTTGCAAACAGTTCATGTTTCACAGGGAAGAAAATGGTAATGTTTCAATTAAGAGTGACATAATTGAAAGATGTCACACTAAGGATGTTAAACCTCAATGCAATTTCTTGAAGAGATGTTGGTCTATATCAAATTCTAATTAATTGGTTTCAGAATTTAGTTTGGAAAAGATGCATAAAAGGGCACATTGTGAAAGTTGTGACCAACAATACAATTTTATGAACATTTTTATTTCTAGTATTGGAGATTTATAAAATGAATGAAAAAGAGTAAGTTCTCTTTAAGAAGCTTGAAGCTGTAGTGAATCATTTCAATGACCTTGGTAAATATGTAATAGTTAATACCCTTGTTTTATACTTAACTTTTAGAGGTTTGATATCTTTTCTTTTTTTAATTCTAAAGTCCAGGATGAACTGCCACACGCTAGTGCTTTTGCAAATTCTGTGCTTAGAATTTCAGAATTCACCTTCAGATTACCCCAATCTGATTGGAATTAAAACAATTCAGAATTGGAAAATATTATCTATTAATAAGAATTCCTGAAGATCGTTATCATCACAGCATTTAAAAAACACCATAAAGTGTGGAAAATACATTAAATTCTTCTCTTGGTAACTTAGTTTTAAAATATTTTTCCTTTATTCAAACCCATCTGATTTAGTTGTGATTTTCTTAGTGTACCTTAATTTCTAAGAAATAGCTCTTATCTACTAGTTTGAACTTCAATTTTAATAAAAGCTTCAAGGACAAAGAAGGTCTGTGAATATATGTATTTCTCTGTTGTAGAATGTTCAAAAAAGTTGATTGGTTTCAGGGCTGATAAAGTAGAAATAAATGCAACTGCAGGGCGGTAGGGCTTGTCAGTGTGCAAAAATGAATATTTTTTTTTGCAAAAGTTTGGCAAGAAAAGAGAATCTATGAACTGTGGAATGAGTCAGTGCAAGAGTTCAGTAAAACAGAACATTGGCTGTCATAGCTGACATTTCCTACTTGTCTGTCAGTTTGCACCGTTTAACTGTCCTGCTTCATCTTAGTGGAAGCTGTAGTTCTGCATGAGTGCCTTGGTGCTTAGTGGAGTTCCCTCTGTGCTCAAATTATGCCTTTGTTTCATGTTGTGGGGGGACTGTAGATGGTGTCCTGCATCTATCTGTTCGATCTATCAGATAGTGCTTTGGTAACTTTCATTAATTCAGGAGCAAGCCACTCAAATAAAAACAACCAGTCTCCTGTAGGTGAATTTTAAATGTTACAGAAATCTGGCTTTGAAACCTTTTGTATCACAGATGGACTGTGTTAAATCTGTTGCAGAAAAGGCTGCTTCCTGGGATCTTTGGACTGAGTTGCCTTCATTTATACGAAGAGTTGTTAATTTTGCAATAAGAGTTTGCACAAAAAATGGGTAGAATTTGGGCATTTTCTTTCTATCAACTCTTGGTCTTTTTTGTCACTATTATCAGCCCTTTGTATTTTGGTTTCCCTTTTCCTCATTCCTGTCTGAATTTTTCCTTTGTAGGAAAGTGCTTCCTTGGCAGATAGATTGATACAGGTATAGTCTTTTACTGTATGACTCTCTTCCTACTCATAAAAAAACCCAACTGCTTTAATGCATGCATATTCGCATGCTGTATTCTATCCCTGCTTTGCTGATTTGGAATAAATACAGAGCTAATACATCTTGCTAGAAACTTGTTTAATTTTGTTTACTAAAAATATATAAACCCAATACCTGCACGTTATAGTAATTTTCCTAACCTATTGTAATTTTTTGTACAAATTCCTGTGGCAAATGGATCCTATGACACCGTATTAACAATGAAATTGAATAGTGTGAGCCTCAATCTGTGCATGTACAACTGAGTAATAATGCATGAAAGGAATTTTATTCAATACAAGTACAAAACTGTGCTTGCTAAATGGATGCTGAACTTTGTAATAAAGTACTAAAGCAGCTGTTTAGTACTACTTGTCCTAAAATTTCTACCAATTGTACTCTGTGCTGTTTGCAAAACCAGTCTGATTAAATAAGCAGCTAAGCATCAGAAAGGCACTTTTCCTTGGATTTGTCATCAAGTGCTTAAAAAAATAAATTATGTCCTAAGGGACAAGTGACAAGGGCCCAGGAGGCTGAGGAAAACTACCTCATAAAACGGGAGCTGGCCACCATCAAACAGCAGAGTGATGAGGCCAATACTAAGCTGGAGCAAGCTGAGAATACCATCAGGGAGCTCCAGCAACAGCAGCAATGGGTAAGGAGCCTGGCAGCACATCATCTCATTTTTTCCCCTCACATGTGTTTATTTTTCCTCATCATTACATGACATGGTCTCTGTGCTGTCTTTGTAAACCCCTGTTCACTGTGATTTGCATTCTTAAAATTACACCAATTAGATTAAATAAAATTTTGCTCTGGTCTACTGATAGATGAGATTCATAACCCTGGATAGGTGTAAGTTATGAGTTAATTAAAAAAACTAAACAACATACCCACAATGAAACACACCAAGCAAAAAACCCTACAAACCATCTCAAAACCCTTCCACCACAAAAGAAATACTAACAAAAACCACACGTACAACGTCTGATAGCTCTTAATGCTAAGAATCTAGTCATTGCAAGTTGTGTCACCCTGAGTACTCAGATCTGAGGATTGATTCACAGTGCCCTTACCTAGTGTATAATTTAAGTTAGTTTCTTTCATGTTAATGTTTCTTCTGTGTACCCAGATTTGTTTTTTTCTGAGTATGCTAAAATATACTACTTACTGAAGTAGAAGAGTATCATCCCTGATTTTGCAACTACAAAACTTGATTAAAAAGTGTGGGGTTTTGGGTATATAGAGCAGGAAAATAAATTTTAGTAGCCTTTTATAGTGCTGTATTTGTGTGCACTCTGTATTGTAGGTAGTAACATGTTCAAGACTTCTGACTGTTGCTGTAGCACTGAAGTTACTTTCCCTAAGACACTTAAAGTGGTCAATACCTTCTCTTTGGGGGGACAGGGAAGCATTTAGCATCTTCACTTGCTGAATACACTGTGCACTACTGGTGTTTATGTGAGTGTCTTCATATTGTTTTAAGTAAGTGGTATCCAAGTACTTGTCTGGAGTCTTGGGAATTTCAGGTGTATGAAATACAACTTACTAGAACTAAGCATATTGCAGCTCCTTACCAGGTTTCTTAATGTCAGTATGGCAGTTTGTTTTACATGTCTTCCACCAGAGCTCTAGAAATACCTGTGTCTCATATTGGAAGGTAAAGATGAGATTTATTGTTAGACTAAAAAGAAATCACAACTTAAATGCAACATTCTAGAACTAGTTTATTATGTATGTTTAATGCATATCAGTGTAAAAAGATACGTATTTTAGAATAGTTGTAAGAAGTGATTAATGAACTATCACTCTCTCATGTGAAATACTGCTTTTTATAGAACTTGCAGAATTTCTTTAGGGGGAAAAATATGAAGAAATTATGATTAGGAAGATGGGCATGGTCTAGTAATACTTTCCAACATTTTTAGATTCATTGTAATCTTTCAAGTGAAATACAATGAAAGCGTTTATAGACTTTTGAATATCCAGCTGTTTTATGCAACTGCATTATCTGATTGCAATAGTACACGTGCCTTGGGAATGTATTTTTTAGAGGCATCCATGTTAATGACCTACATGCAATGAAAAGTTATTAGAAGAAGACTAAGATACTGTATTTATTTATTTGTTACTTGGTGGGAATATAACTTTTAAAGCTACTGCCTTTATGCTGGGGACCTTACTAGTACCAATGATGGGGAGGCCTGACAGGTTGCCTAGGTATGGGAACTGATCCTGAGCAAATCTTAGCTAACTGTGGATTGTAAATTTGGCTGGGCTGGAGCTGTGGGTGCAGACAGCTGGATAAGCACTGCGGGAGTGGAGAGGAAATGAAATTATGAGCACACTTCCTTCTTTCCGTGCTTGCAGCATTGTTTTCCTCCACTTAAACGTGAACATGGCTGTAGGAAGTTGTCTGTGTGTGTGGAACTGAGACTGTAAATCTATTTTGTTATAGACAGATTTGTGCCTAATAATAATATTTGTGCTGGTTTATTTTGAAGTGCAAGGAATAGCACTGTGGCGTTGAGACTCGTCAGAATTAGCCAATGTGATGAAAGAGTTAAAATGGTTTAAGTGAGGAGCGTTTGCGAGCTCCTGCTGCGTCAGTAAGACGTGTACTCGAACAGGCTTTTAACTGTTTGCAAGCGTGGGAGTGGGAGCAACAAATGTGAGCAGCTGCGTGCGTTTCGGGCGCCACCTGGTGGGAATGCGTGGATTTATTCGGAATCTTGGCATTTTACTGTACACTGGTTAATTTTTTTGCCACTTGCTAGTGCCAGTAGCTTTGTTCTTGGCAATACTCCGTTTCAGTATTGTCTTGTGAGTATCTGCTTTAATGTTTTCTTCTCTAAATATTTCAGCTTTGTTTATTGTTAGCAAAAATGATTGCACTGTAAAGCTGTAAATCACTGCATAGTTTCTGTGCTTATTTAAAAGGTACAGCATCTCTTGTATATGTTTTATCATCTACATCTTTTTCAGTCTTGAGTTGTCTGTTTCAGCGTGATAAAAACTGTAATAATTGGATATGAATCTCTGAATAGAAATGTATGGAAAGAACTGCCTAAAGATACTTGCAGCAGCCTCTTCTGAGCAACACTGGGATTAAAAAAACCCCTGTTTTGTTGATAGCAAAAAATTATCAAAACAATAGTATCTCTAAGAAGGTTAACATAGCCTTTGTAAAAAGGTTATTCATTTGTATTTGAGTATTATCAAGGGTTTATGCCCTCTGTTCTATGAGATGGGATAGCATAGGTTGGATGGCTTAAGTATAAGTATTGAAAATACTTACTGGATTTGTGTCTGAAGAAATTGTCCCCTGCTGCACTTCTGAATACAGAGGTGGGTAGAGGAGTATTCTTTTGATTGAAGCTCAACACCAGAAGCCCAAATTACATACAAGTTTATTTTTTCCTGTGCTAAACTATTTATAGGGAGTTTTTAGTTGAACCAGAAAGACTTTATTATGAAGTGTGAAGTCTACTTAAAGAGGTAATCGTTCTGCTAACGAATGATATTAACCTCTCTTTGGCTTGTCTGCTCTTTAAATGTGGAAGCTTGCCAAAGGCAAGTCATGGTGTGTTACCAAGTGATTAAGAGGGAGGTGGCTTCTTCCTCATACTGCTGGTAAATTGAGGAGTGCATAGAGGAAGTTTTGCCTGACTTGAATGAAATACAGTTTTCTTTTGAGGCATACTAAGAGCAATGGTGTTTGAGGAGTTAGTTAGCCTGTTGTAACTTACTCCTGATAATGATGTTCTAAAGGTTTTATTCTCTGTTCTTTTCCCCCTTGTGTTTCTAAATGAGAGGGGTAGCTTCTTGCTGGATATAAACACCTCCTGAATGCAAATCTTGTCTTTCCCTGTGACACTGTAATTGTCTATGATTACCCAGTTCATCAGTCTGAATGCTTTAAAATTGAATCTGATAAACTGGAGGCTAATCAAGCTAAAATTAGTTCACATCTTATTTTAAATAGGCTCTTCAGCTATATTATGTGAAGATAGAATTTTAATTGACTAAGCATTCAGATGGAAGCATATGCATTTTGCAAGGTAATTTATAGTGATGTATAGTTTATTTTCAGGAACTCATGCTAAAATGACTGATAATAATTAAGAACATAGTAATTGATATTGGGAATATATGCTTTTAAATGAGTATTGCAACTTTATGAAAGGCTTTACTTTATTTTACAGTATACTTTCCTAATACTGTGTTCTGATTTGCAACAAAAAAGCAGAAAATAAGAATACTGTATTTAGGGAAGTACTACAGTTAGTGCTCAAATCTATAAACAAAGTTAGCTGGGAGCTGCTGAATCATCTGTTAAGTGCTCTCCAGTATAGCGTACTGGAGAAACATTGTGTCATTACATCTGTCATCAGCCAAAATAGTATTTGGTATGGTTATGTTTAAGAAAAGTTGGGTGGAAATAAGTCCAGTTGTATGAAGCCCAGCAAGGACTTGTTTCTTTTAGAATTAAATGGCTGTGGAACTACAGTTTTAGTCCTTTATATTACTTATGTCTCTTAAACGTAGGCAAGAAAATGTTACTGTGGTTAAAATGTTTGGTGCCTGAAAATTTGTATTTGCATTGTGGCTTTTGTCAGAAATTCTAGGGCTTAAGGCAAATATATAAAAGCAGATCTTTTCCTGCAGTCAATTTAATAGTTTTCAAATGCTGTTTTAAATATAAACTTTTATATACTATTATACTGTTACTTTTATATTCCAAATTATTGAAAATGTGCTTTGTTTTACTAGGTAGCAAAATGCACAACTTCTGATTTGTGAATCTTGATTTCTTCAATCTGTTTTGATCTTGGCTGGGGTTTTTTGTATATCAAGACTTGACTTAGAGTTTGTTGTGGCTAAGTAAATAAGTACTGTTAAGATATTCCTTAGGCCGGCAAAATCTAAAGACAGATTTAAAGAAGGCATGGTTCGTACTTGAAACTGGATTAATAACTTTTCTTACATTCTCCATTACTTATTATTTGATAAAGATTTTATAGAATACACTTACATTATTGCAAAATCAGCATGTATTCACTTCTTCAAATCTTCTGTTTTCTCTCAATGTCCTGGAGAACACTGCATTTGCTCTCATTCCCTGTGTATCACAGCCAGAAATCTGGAACATAAAATGTAGAGTCCATCTAAGTTGCTGTGTGTATCGTGGGATGAACCTGTACAAACAGCCAGGGAATAAAAGAGAGTGGTTGCTTCTTCTCTGCCTCTGCATGGTGTTACATGTGGTACTTGTGTTGCTACATGATGTGAAACAACTGTAAAAATGAATCAGCACTGTCCACCATCCTCCTCCTTACACTCAAATCAGGTCTGCCTCCACTGCTTGCCGAGGCAAGAACACTGTGTGGGGTTGAAAATGCTAAGAATTCAAGTAGTATTGTAGAAGGGAAAAAATAGTGTTAATGTACAAGGGTCATAGTGTATCTGTGTTCCACGTGTGTTCACGTGCACACAGTATGCAGAGTGCTTAAGTGGCAGTGTCAATGACACTAAAAACTGCCTGCCTGGGCTGCCTTTGCCTTTTAATGCTTTGTGCATATCCTCCTCATTGCAGCTTCCTGTAGGCACATATATAGAAGAAATATAGTAACACTAAGAGTAGAGTGTACATTTTGAATTTGGATTGTACTGTAAGTCTTGACAAAAGGTGTAACTGACATGCAGAAGTATAAAAGCAAAAAAAAAAAATTCCTTGACTGTATAGTTACATTTAAATCCTTGTTTTGTCCTGTTTGCCCTTTATTTATACATAAAAAGTCAGTGTCACACCCTAACAGAAGCATGTGGAACTAAAGACTTCTGCTCATTTTTTTGCTGTTTTTAGATGCAAACTGCGATGAAACTTTAGATGAAATTGTTTGATGCAAACATAATGTAAGAAACAGCTGTGTCTTTAGTATAATGAATAATCCTAAAAAGTTGAATTGTTAATTAAAAGTGAATCTATGAATCCAAGATAGTACTTATATTTCACAATGTAATTAATGACACCAAAAATATATGATTTTCCCCTAAATGTAATTTTCAGGTTAGCTATGTAAACACAGTAACTAAACAACTACGCTTTGAGGATTTCAACACCCACTTTTTTCTTCAATCAGAAATTTAAAGGCTGATTGAGGTTGGTGTTGCCTATCAAGCAAGTCTGACAATCTCTTAAACTGACAAGTCATTTTAAAGTGACCCAGGAAAGAAATAAAATGTATTTTTTAACTATTGATTGGGAGGGAAAGTTAAGAGAGTCTTTTAAATAGAAGTGCTTCAGTTGGATGTATCTGAATCTCAGAAGGAATATACAGTGTGTGAGCAAACGAGACCCAAGAGCTGGAGTGAAGAAAAGGGCAAACCAAAGTCATTGTGCATTGAAGCATATGTAGTTTTATTTTAAAGCCAAGATTATGGAAGGATTCTGTTGGATTGGAGTTCAAGTGAACAAGGATTGAGTGATACTTGTACTAACCTTGTAATTAGTTAGTCTTTCCCAAACATCTTTTTCTGCAGTTCACAAAATAATCACAGATCGTTTGAGAATCTCTCAATTTGGTTGACAATGAGAGAAAAGTGTGAGTTGCTGCTTGTCAGTACTGGTAGGGGTGTCAGTTTTGTCAGATACACATTTGGCTGTGTGGAGGTGCAGTTGTTTGAGAGATGGGATACGTAGGGATGTGTTTGTTAGCAGTCTGGATTGACGTTAATGACTTGTATATGGTAAGCACTTATGCTGGTACTCCTGATATTAAACATTTGAATGTACTTGTCCCACCAAATCTGGTATATAAAACCCCTTTCAAACAATCTGTACTTCATACTAAACATATTTCTGCAAACTTTGTAGCATAAATGCAGTTCACGATACAGTGAAGACTTTGTGCTACAGCTGGAAAAAGAGCTGGTCCAAGCCAGGCTGAGTGAAGCAGAATCCCATTGTGCCCTGAAGGAGATGCAAGATAAAGTTCTAGAGATGGAAAAGGTAAATCAAACCAGGACCTCTATACAGAACAGCACTAGAAATGACCTATAGGTCCCTATCATTCCTAACAAGCAGAACTGTGCTCTAGAACCTTCTCTTCTATGCTTCTGTGACTGCAAGACGCTATTCAAACCTGAAAGTATGACAACAAAACTAAGGTCTGTTTGTGCTGGGAGAGGTTTGTGAATAACTGATCACTTTTCTTCTATTCCTGAAGCCTGCTGTAGTGGAAAATTTGGATTCTGGTGAAGTCCTGACAGGAAACATCAATCGTTTCAAAATGATATCCTGCAACAAGAGCAGTGGGCTTAGAGTGAGCATTGAGATGATGTGAAACTAAATATTTTGGAAGGGGAAGAAGAATGGGTTCAATATTACCATTCCCATTATGGGCAGGGAAAGAATCCCTTATCCCTTCACTGGTCAGTATCAGAATCTCTACTGCTTTTTGGGTGCCATGCTAGCTTGTAACTTATTGATGCCAGAGTTCAAGCTGTACTCAAAGCTACTGTCAAACATTTACCTTTCTTTGAAGCAAAGTTTAACTGCAAGATTAAAAAAACCCAAAAATCAGTAACTGACCTGATAAAGCATGCTTTTCAGATCCTGTTGTATTGACTTTGGAATTAGTTTCCTTAGGAAATTTTAATTAGCTATATACCCAGGCTTTCACTAGAACTTACTAGCTAATTAGATTAACCCACTGGAATCAAGATTTTTTTTTTCAGTTGTCTGATGGGCTTAGTATTAGTAGTGTGGTAGTTTTTACTTCTTAACAATAGACCATTGGTAAGAATTCAGGATATAAACTATTTTTCAAAATTCAGGAGACTGCTTAATCTTCATCAGCATGGAAACAGCATACAATGAAAACTTATCTGTGAAGAAAAACTGGAATTAGTTCCAGTGCACTAGACAAACTCAGACATTCAGTAATATTTCAGTGTGTCATAATGAACTTATGCACATGAGAAAGTGGCTGAAGTCCCTCAAACTCCTCCAGTAGAGCTCTTTACTGCTGGTAGTGATGAGTTGTGTAATCCAGGGAGCTTCTGCTGAATAACCTGAGACTTGCAGGGCCACAGAGACAGTGCCATGAGCATTCAGAAACAAACCCTCTCATTTCCTGTATTTACCAATACTCAGATCCCAAAATTCCCACGGAATGCTAACCAATGGCTGCTCTGCTGTGTTCATGTTAATCAGGTGCTTTACTCAACTCTCAAGAAAACCTGACAACTGTCACAGTACTATACGTCTGCAAAACCACTTCATTTTGCTGAAAACAACTACAGGGAAATAAAGTGATGAAGAACAGTTCAGCTTTGAATATTTGGTGACCAGTGATTTGTTGTAGGGAGATTGTAGACAGCCTGTCCATGTTCTTCCCCTCTTGTTTTTCTCCCACATTTCCATCATTAGGATTTCATCTCTGTTACGCTTTTCCTGGTGTTTTCATGTTTTCTGTTTAGCCTTTTCTCACCTTTCTGCTTTTTCCTCATGTGTCTTGCACTATTTATCTCTAAGACCTCTTGACTGGTTGTTGTTTATAAATATTAACAGATGGTTCCTTTGTCAGCGTATCTGTTCTCCTTTACAAAGGCTGATGACCTACTTCCTAAAAAATGAATTTCCATTTATTATTTTTCCTGTAAACTTAAATAAAAGTTATAGCTTTAAGGTGTAATTTCAGGTCATTGTTGCTTTACTTTTTATCGACTAAATCAAAACCTTCCAGATTACTCTCCATATTTTGATAGTGTGTTCAAATATTGTAAGTGTAACATTTTGTTAGGGATACCATTCAGGGAAATCTTGACATAAGAATACTTAGAGCTACTACCTTATAATATTTTTTTTTTGTAGTTAGCAGTTGGAAGCTATTTATACACACAATATCCAGAAGCTTAGATTGTTTGGTGGTTTTTATTTTGCAGAGGATGTGTACTTAAAGTTCTCATAGTTGTTTTTGCACATCTATGTTCTTGGACTGGATTTCACTAAGCACATTTTATTCAAATACATATTTAAGAGGATGGTCCTTGTTGCAGAGGAACAGTTCCCTTCCTGATGAGGAAAATGTTGCCAGACTACAAGAAGAACTGATTGCAGTAAAATTAAGAGAAGCAGAATCTTTGATGGGTCTCAAAGAACTAAGGCAGCAAGTCAAAGATTTGGAGGAACACTGGCAGGTATGGGTTGCACTACAATTTTATGAATTTTTGTTTTCAATGATAAAGCATAAGACTATAAAATTTTGAGATACTGAGATCAAGTAGAAACTAATGATTATGGATCAAACTGCTGAGGTGAGAAAATCCTTAAATTCAGCTGTCACAAGAAACTTAACTTCAAAAATATGTTAGAAATTGGTGCCTAGTTGTTATAGATGGCAGAGGGCCTGTGCTACCAGCTAACTGTAATGGTAGGAGGGAAATACCTGATCAGTACTCCTACTTTGCTGCATGTTTAAAAGGGCTAGAAATAGACAAAAGTCTCAGGATATACTTGCAATTCACTGACTTCGTGTAGTTGGGAATGAATGTGTTCAGTTTTTTGATTGTCTGTTCTTAAAACCAGTAAGTTTCCACGGGTTTCTAGCTTTTAGGATCAACAGGGGAACTCTAGCTATTTGTCCTCATATAACTGAGACCTTAGATGAAGTAAGGAAACACCAGGAATGATCAGGCATTGGCAGCAAAACCATGCTGTTTTTCTAGCGTCACCTAGCTCGTACCACTGGAAGATGGAAAGATCCTCCCAAAAAAAATGCAGTGAATGAGCTCCAGGATGAGCTGATGACAGTGCGCTTGAGAGAAGCAGAAACCCAGGCTGAGCTGAAAGAGACCAAGCAAAGAATGATGGAGGTGGAGACACAGGTATGTTATTGAACCCTGGGATGTGTGGATTGAGCTGGATGCTTGCAGTTTGCTGTTACATGGTAGATACCTGCTGATGATCTTCACTATCTACAGGCAGGACCTCAGCTCCAAAATGGGGTACGTTTTTACTTCTGTTAGATGGGGATGGGAGAATCTAGTGCATACGATCCAACTTTAATGTCTCCTCTTCAATCTTTTCCAGGACTATGCTTCTTGAATTTCTCATTTGGGTTAGTTGTTAGACACTGAATATGTGTGCATCTTAACAGGTGTAATAACAACAAAAGTATGTTTAAGGTGTTTTAAATTTCACAAATCGGATTGGCAATTCTGATCATAGTAATGTTTAGCTGCCAGTGTGTGCTTTCTTTTGATGACATTGGTGGTTGTTTTTCTGCTGAGGTCATGAATCTGGTTACTAAGCTGGAGATTCAGCAAAGCAGCTGTGTATTGGTCAGGGGTTTTTAGCACAAGGTTTGCCTTTAATGTGCCAGATTTAGAAAAGCATGGGTGACGCCTGCTGAGGTTTGTGGAGAAAAGACACTCATACCTTGAATGCTGAGATTGTTTTTGTGTAAGTAGGGAGTAAGTTGCTAAGCACCTGAAATGAAAATGCACTAAAGTGGTGAGTTCACATTGTATTAGTAAACTTTCACTCAAGTTAATAAGCACAATGTGCTGATGATTCAGAAGGATTTGTATGAGGCTTCTAAGAAATCTTCCCATGAAATACCTGCTAAAAGTTACTTTTTGAAAGAGACCTATGCATCCACAAAACTAAACAAACAACAACTTTACTTGAAAAGGTTCAGCAATTCAAAAAACTAGGAGAGCATGTAAGGACATGCTACTGAAGACAGATGAACCAACTGCAAGGCATATGAAGGCTTCTTTCTGACAGAGGCACCACTTCGTCTATACCAACTGAACGAGTTTCCTCTTGCCTTACCTTTTAACATTTTCACTGACGTGTCAATATTGTTTTGGTCAGTAGGGGGCGGAGAGATCCTGCTGTTTGGCTCACGTATACTTAGGTACCTCTCACTTCAGTGTTACACACGGAGTCTTTGTATGTGCTTAGGCTGTTCAGCTGTCATCTGACAAAATTGCCCTTCTCCTGGGATGGTGTGCACAGCTTCAGGTACAAATGCTGTGACTTGTACTTGTGCACTGATCTCAACTAAGGTGCCACATTGCTTTCAGGAATTCACTGGGCAGGGAAATGTGCAATGTCAGTATTTCTGAGATACCTGATCTTTCCTGGATGCATAGTGTAGTGGGGATACAAGTTCACAAAATCTGCCTTTCCTAGGCAACAAATTGGGAAAAAAAAAAGATCTACTGGAGTGTGGTGGAGCTTTGCAATAATGTTCTTACAATGAGTCATCTGTTTAAGAACAATTTGAATATCATAGTGATAAACAAAATGTTATGCAGTCTCTTCTGATTACCCTTGGAAAACGCTGAATGCTTTGTCATCAAAAGTTTTTTATGGTAAATCATCTCTAAGTCTGTTTTGTCAGACTTCAGGGAGTTAGATTAATATCCTTTCCTTAACATGTATTTTATTTCCTTTTTTTGGCCATACATTTCAGAATCAGATCAACAGTAATCACTTACGAAGGGCAGAGCAGGAGGTTACCAACCTACAGGAGAAGGTGCAGTATCTTTCTGCACAGAACAAAGGACTCCTGGCTCAGTTGAATGAAGCAAAACGTAGACAGGCAGAGATTGAATGCAAGGTAAATGACATCCTGAAAAGAATATTTGTGTGCTAATATATGTATATTTTAGTCTTGTCTGCCATTATTGGATAAAATTGTGTCTTAACTGAGAAGCATAAATCGTAAAACCAAAATTCTTTTTACTGTTTTTGACAATATCATTTTGAATTTACTATCTCACAAAAACCACTTGAGGTTTTGACAGAGCTGCTTATTTGTGGTCCCATGAAGATAAACATTTACTTTAGAGCATGGTTCTATTCAGAAAAGTGTCTGTGTATAATATAAAAAGACTCCTCAGCAACAGGTTTTCATTTTTCTTACTGTTTTGACAGTTTCATTTGTTTCTAGTGGAACTTGAATGTACAGTGAAGTAAAGAAGTAACTTCTGCTGACTCATCGAACTCCATCACAAGCTTTTAGGAAAAAAGACACTGAATCTTAACTAGAAGAAATTGCTTCTACTGACTTTCTTGTTTGCCATAACCTCTGGTTTCCTAAGTACTATTTCTTTTAATGCTGAGATTAATTTTACTGGTTTTTTTTATAATCATAATCTTGGTGATGCCTTTTTCATATAACCCATAACTTACTTGAATTAGTTTTTGATACTGAGGGTGCTCATTAATCCTTAAGAGATTGAGGATTGAGACTGTGTAATCAATATTCTTTTTATGTCGACTATGTAAAGAGCAATATTAACCTGATCAATGAATTAGTACACATAAGTATTCTCAATGGGCTAATGCATTGTAGAACAATGTTCTAGCATGAGCTAGAGAAAAGTGTGACAGTAATAGACAGAGCACCAGTCATACTCTTTAGAGATACTGTGAAATTCTGAAAGTAGCTATGGTGAATAGCCAATCAAGTATCTTCACTGACATATCCTAACATTAGATCCTGAAACTTGTTTTGCAGCTAATTTTTACAGTTTACAAGTAGTATTTGATTATATATCAAAACCAAGAACAGTTGTTCCTGATTTCTATTAACTGATGTTGGATTAATTTTTTTCTTCTGTTTTTTCAAGTTGTTTGAAAGCATGCTCTAGTTTTATTTTTGTCTTGGCTAGGTAGCAATATTTCTACTGTCTCAAAAAGTATATATTTAGATTTTCAACTCCAAATATATGCATAATAGAGTGGTATGTTATTTCAGGAGCTTGTATTTTTCTTTTAAAAGATATCTTGAAATGCTTAAGCAGAAATTAAATTTTGTGTAGCCAGTTGCATCTCATACCTGTATGGCAACTGTTTTTGCCATAGGTGTGTATTGTTGTTTATCCTTTTATCTGACTACTGCTTCTTACAGCAAGGACTCAGTTTCAAATTTTTTCTTGAAACTCACCACTGATCTTTCTAATCAGTTGTGCTAAAGAATTTATAATTTAAGGTTTGTGCCCCTACCCAATCTTGTCTTTCCTACCATATCAACTTCTGTGGTAATTACTGAGAACATGCTGTTTCAGAGATAAAGCATCAGTGCCATCTAGAGCAGCACTATTGACTCATCTCTGATGCCAAAGTCAAACCAAGCCAGTCTTTCCTTCAGCTTTCAGTTAAATACATGCAATCCTGTGGACTTGTCGGTTTGGCTTTATTTAAGCAATCATGCAACAGAATTTAGCAAGAATGGCTAAACTTTGTCTAGCACATGATAGATTTCTCTGAAATGGGCTCCACTGATTACAAATGCAGTTAATTGGGTCCTGTAGATTATATACCTCCATTACAGGAGTATTTAAAAAATGAACCAAAACCAAACAAGTAGCATGTTTAAAAGTAGCTCCTATGGATAAGCTTTGATATGTTTGATTTTATTTTAACTGTACTGTCTAATGAAGGGTGATTGAGTACTGTTTGTTTGAAGCACACATTAAAATAACTGAAGTACTGGAACTGATTTGCAGTAAATACAGTTTAGTTACACCAGTCTGATATAAAAGTAGGTGTTATTATACTATAATTAGTATTGCTCACTAATTATCTAATGCTGCTTTCTCTCCATGGTTGTACCAGGCTGCTGACAGTATAATATTGTTTTATCTCTGAAGTCTTGAGGACTTGCCTCATGAAACTGGACATTTTTTTTCTCTCTTTTTCGAACTCAAATTACCTATAATTTATAGACAGACTAGTAGGTTAAGCTTACAGTGGGAGGCTGATTGTAGGTTACGTGCATTAGTATTTTATTCTAAAATGTCTTTGTTACTTACTGTGACTAAGATAGCTAGACTAAATGAGGTTGAAAATACATTTGCTTTTGTATTTAATTTATTTTTTAGGACAAAGGAAATGATTAAATAAGTAAGTCTTGTGTAGCTTTGCTGTTTCTCTATACTAAAATCCAAAATTAGAGCATGAACTGGTTTCTTTTATAATGTTGATTCTTTTGCTTAATTTACAGTATAATATTTCTGGGAAATAAGACAGTTGTTTTCTGGACCTTGAAACTGATAACAGCAAGTTTTCATATCTGCACAGATTAATTTTTTTTAAATTAATGTACTTCAGAGTTTATATTAGATTATTGCGTACTCCTCCTATGGGTTAAAATTAAATCTAAGTTCTTTAGAATAGTGGCAGTTTGCAGAGCAGTCTGTTTTCTCAGGATTTTGAGTAAAAGCAGTGCACAGTCTTTGATCAGCTCACACTGGTACTAGTTCTCTCCCGTTTGTGACTTTTCAGAGTAAAGAAGAAGTGATGGCAGTACGGCTCCGTGAGGCAGACCGCATTGCAGCTGTGGCAGAACTCCAGCAGCACATTGCTGAATTAGAAATCCAGGTAATAGCGACAGCATTAAATGCCAAACTTGATACTGATTAGATTTTATACTTTGGGAGTTTTGTTCTTCCTCTGCTGTGTTTCTTCATTAGCCTACTGTGAATACAAGACACTGCTTTGCCAAATGGGATAATGCTGTATTGCTGAATTCCTGTACAAGCAAAGCCTTAAATCTAACTTGGGCACATACCTGTGAGCTGTTAATAATTCCTTTTGTACAAATACCGTGTTAAAGGCAACACTCTATTTTACTCTGACTTCTGTTTTGCTTTTTTTCCTTGTAATTGGTACTTCTTACCAATTAAGAGATGGGATTGAAAACATCCTCTGTCCAAAAATAGATGCATACAATTTTGATTCCAGCTACCATTTTTTTTCTGTGCTTACTCTTCTGCTATGATCAGTATTGAAGGATTTATTGTAAAACTCTTACTCCCTTCATGTAAATCTAGAAACCAGAAATATTTACTGCTACCACATCACTGTAGGATCCCAAGATCCTTTGGCCTCTGTGTTGTTCCTTACACTTTCAGTTCCTTTTGGAACTTTCACCATCCCATGAACTTGCAGCTCCCTTTATGAGAAAACCTGAGATTGCTGTGCTTTGTATTTTCTTGGCTTTGGGAAATCATGATGTCTTACTGTAGTCTGACCTTTTCTATAATCATGTACTGTTGTCCTGTCTGAATTCTGATACAAAATTTTTCTTGGCTATTTTTACTAAGTTACAATCTAGTTACTCTCTGGTTTACTTTTTGTTAAACCTGGTGTTGCTATTGTGATTCTTCCCTCTGAAATCTTTCCTTTGAGGTGATGATTTTATTATATGGTTTCAAAGCCACCTTTCCCTATGGTTTCTCAACTAGTTTTTCATCTCTTCATACATGGAATGTACAAATAAATTTCACTGAGCTTGCATAAAGAATTTTTGTTATATTTCCTCTAGTGCAGCAGGCACTAGACTTATTGAAAGTTAAAGCAATCATTTCTTTAAATAATATAATGCTTAGATAATGCTGTGATCTGTACATTAGAAATACCTAGATAAGTATGGTAAGCATTGCATATGAATCATTTATCATCTAGTAAGATAACAAGAGAGTAGCTGAGTTAAGGTCAATCTTCTGCTCAAATTGACATTTTAAAAAAAAGAGAGGGGAAGTTTAAAGGTTACTTCAAACAATGTGATTTAGTAGGTGAGAAGTGAGTACTCATTTTACATTATTTTTACTTTAGCACAGACTTCAAATGCCATCCTGCTTCCATTATTTGATAGATTCACATCTCTCAAAATGTAGTCAGTATCTTATGAAATGGTGAATCCCCTAATGATCAGCTGGGAATTTTTGGATAGCTGTCACACAATTCAAACTGTGTTAATTTTTAGTGTAAATACATCTGACTTGGTTTTCTGTTGTTTAACTGATCATACCATCCATGCTCCATCATTTTATTGCTCTCTCCTATTCCCATTCCATATTTCTGTTGAACTTAGGGATCCCAGAATTGCATGTGGATTTTTATACCTTGTCATGAGACAGAAAGAACTGCAGGAATGTAATCTATTTTATGACTCCAGCTAATGCATCCAATGATCACACTGTTACTGTTTTGTCATTATATTGCACTCTCTCAGGTTCAGTTGTTTATCCACATCATCTCTCCTTCCTTTTCACAAGTACTACTTTGCACGATGCAGTTTTTTATTATTCTGGGTTTTTTGTTTCCTTCCAAAGTGCATTTCAAGTCCCAGTCTTTATGGTATTCTCAGATTATCACCTGCTAATGATTTCTTGAGTTTGATCTCAGTAAAATTCTTGATTTTCTTCACAAAAGTGAGAATGGCTGGGCTTTCTCTGTATATAGTGTGGAGTATGAAGTAATTTTGTGGCTGAGGTTCATGTTCATTTGATGAGTTTGCACTGTTAGGTTTTTGGTGAACATCTGTTCTCAAACTTACACTAGCAGGAAAGATAATTTCTTCAGTTGTGAAATACAGATTTTAGGTGTGAACTTTAGAGTATTTAAAATAAATAATTTAAGTTCTGCTAATGTTAATTTATTTATTTTTGACTACTTGAACTGCTTTTGTTGAACTGTGGTAGATGTCTGGATTTTTTTTTTAAATCTAAGCAGATATTTTTCACCAGTGTGTTTTGCCAGCAAATATGAAACTTACGATCAAAACTTCCTTTTTGGGTACTCATGCTCAAAAGCCTTTGAAACACCTGCACCAAAAGAAATGTAATAATGGAATTGGAACTCCTGAATTCCCAAAGCTTGTCAACCATAAAACATGCAATTGGTAACAGGGTTTAAACAAAAGTGAATTTTAAAGGAAATTGAAAATCTAGATAACTTCTTCATCACTGGAGAAAGAGCTGCCTCCCACTCTCTTCTGTTCAGCTTGTAATCAGGTGACAGCTGTAATTGCTGTCACCTGATGTGGGGAGCAGAGGCCCTTTTAATCAGAACTTGTCTTAATGCTTGAAATGCAATATTTATTACCAGAAATACATTTAGCCAGTCTTGGCGAATAGGCACCGGGATTAAAGTACAGATGCACAGTGCATCACAAATAGGTCTGCTTGTCAAGCTGTTTCAAAGCTGATAAAAATGAAGGGAGGAAGTTAACCTACCACATAACCTTCCCCTTTTTTTTTTTGAGGGGGGTGGTGCTTTTCTAAGAAGTTCGAGGGATTCATTGCCAGGTCCACATGGACCATAGCAACACTTAACTTAAATTGCAAGGTTTTCTTTTAAAAGTTTATGTAGGTGTAGGTGCAAGACAGTGATGTTAAATTTATAGTGCAGAGTATCACTACTCCCACATAAGAACTGATCTGACATCACACACACACATGCTAGATTTAAATCACAGTTTCTGGGTCACTCTTAGTTTTGGTTAGTAATAATGACAGGAATGGAGAGTGAACTATCATTCAATAACAGATGTAATTCTGCAACAAGTTGTCAATTTATTATGTTGTTAAGAAGTTATTTCTTAATATATTCTAAATGTCACCTTGTCTTGTTTGAGCATTCAGTTCATGATGCTGACCTTTTAAACTTTTGTGTAAGTATATTGAAATGCAATCAGATGCCCAATACATGATGGATATTCTAGGTTTTTCTTTAGACTTTCCATGCAAAAATAGCATGGAATTGAAGTATAACTGAAGTTTAACTTATGTTGCACATACCTAAGCCCCAGAAGTGACAAAGAAAAACCCTGATGTTACAGCCCTGTTACGTGGAAACAAAGGTTTACTTTGTCAGCATTTGTTTACTCCTCTATCATGTCTTTATTTTTCTCTCACTTGCCAGTTCAGCTTATGTTTGGGAGGTAAACATAGAATCACAGAATGGCTTGGATTGCAAGCAATCTTGAAGATCTTTTTCCAGCCTGCCTGCCAAGTTCAGGACAGCTTTCCCTAGACCAGGTTGCTTCACCATCTTCACACTAGAGAATTTCTTCCTAATATCCAATCTCAATGTACCCACTTTCAGTTTAAAGCCATTCCCTATTGTCCTGTGAGCACATGCCCTTGTCAAAACTTCCTCTGCAGCTCTCTTGGAGCCTTAGGAAGGGGCTCCAAGGTCTCTGAAATGAGCATACATAGTTCCTTCTGGTTGCATATGGGCAGCCCTGCTGGTCCACTGATGTTGTTTTGGTTTTTTAAGTTTTTTCTGACAAATAAGTAATTGAAAGAAGAACAGAAAAATTCAGGCAAGGTTAAATCAGTTACAAGCTGCAGTCACTCAGCTGCCTAGGGTGAGGAGCAGTAGGCCAGTGGAACTGTAGGCAGGTTGAGGAAGCAGAGTGGGGCAGCTGTAGCCTCTCCTTGGCAGCTTAATTCCTGTCCCTCCATTTCTATGCAGGCTGGTGACTGTAGTATCCTCTGAAATTACCCATGGCTGGGTTGAGTTGAGCAATATAGAGCACACTTGTAATATGAAAAACTAGTTTTACATCTGAGTAATCTTAAAGCATAAAATATCCGTAAGAATTAATTCTTCTTTTGGTTAGGTTGATCTGGACAGACTGTAGCATCACTTCTTCCTGCTGTGTTTCCTGGCAGATTCAGAGAATTTTGTCACATTTACCCTATCTCTAACCCGGTCAAAGCAGCTTTGAGAACAACTGTAAAGGAAATCCATGATTGTGCTATAATCTCTCCACAGCTTAAACTTTTAGCACTATTTCTTTAGAATGAAGCCGTTCTGTGACCTCTGTTTAATAACTTTTCCAAGTACTGACTGTTCAGTAAAGAAATTGTTTCCATCTTTCAAATTACAGGAAACCCTTTTTTTACTCTTATCAATAGTGGTGTGTGATGTTAGTGATGTGTTTTTTGAAAGTCTAGAATGAGTCACTGTAAAGTCACTGAAAGGACACTAGTTACCACATCTACCCTTCTGAATATACTTAATTTACATTTTTAATGCAGTGTCTTTTGCCACAAAGTAAGTATTTTAAAGCCTCTCCTGAAAAGAGGCTGAGGCAAGTTGTTACCAAGTAAATATTTCTAAGTCAGAAAAGATCAAGTTAAGGGTGTTAGGGAAACATCCTTTCTTCCAGTCATTTTTGGTAAAGATGTTATCTGAGGAACAGACAGTTGTCTAGTGTGCCTGGAGTTGACTGCCTATGTAAATTTTTTTTTCTGTGATTTTTAAGTTCACAGTTATTAAAATGAAAACAACCCTAGATGTTTTCCTATTATTTAAAACAGATTATTTTCTTATTGATGTGTATTTCCTTTCCTATCCAATGTGATAATTGAGTGTTTTAGAAAAGTTGTACTCCTCTTGGGATGAAACACCTGCAACTGGAATTTGATTACACTGATCTTCTGTGTCTTAAACTTTGATTTAGCAGCAAAAGCCGGCTTAAGGCCTCTGGTGTTTTTCGGATGCTTTCTCGTGATTTATTTATTTGTTGTATAAACCCTTTTTTATTATGAGTACTAAACTTGATTTTGGGAGGCCTGAATGGTTTCAGGTATTTTAAATCAGCATTTTTTTAAGCAGTCTGTCCCTGCACTCTTGTGTTGCCAGCTATACATCCTGGCCTGATGCTAAATGAATTTGAAAGGTCTCCATATGTTCAGGAGTTCTCAGTAGCATCAGGTGGCTTTTTGAGACTAGCTGTTGCTTCTTGGCAACATGCTTTTTTCTTAGAAAGCCAGACAAAAGAGCATTTAAGTGTGATATGAAAACCATGATTCTCAGCTGATAGTTTTTGGTAGACAGAATTTTTTCTCATTTTAAGGAGAAAATTTTTGGAGTGTAGATTTTTCTTCTCAGGAGCTCTCAGTGTAACTCTTGGTATGCACACAAGTACAGTCACTCTACTACTTCACAGCAGGATGAGAGAGGTGAGAGCTTCCAAAGCTGTGAAGGGGCCTGAGTTCTGTTTTAGCAGCGGGTTTCTTGATCTCTAGAGCTCATTTCCTGCTTGGCTGCCCGTGCTACTCCCACTATATACACTATATACCCCCGGGGCAGGGGGTTGGACTGTGGATTGGCTGAGTACACTGCTACAAGTGCCTGTCCCTGGGGTGGAGGTGATGGCTGCCACGAGGGTGTTTGTTACCCTGATAAAGATTCCTAACCCTGGTGCTGCTGTTGGAGCTGGTCTGTCAGAAGAGACTAAAAAGGAGCAGTTAAAAATCTTCAAAAGCAGTGAAATCAAGATGATGCATCTTTAATTACAGTGTAACACCAGTTGGCATTGCTGTTCTAAAAATCCTTCTGGGAAGGAAGAGGAGATGGGCACTGCAGCGGTGCCAGTACGCAGACGCAGTACGCCAGGGGTGTGGGTGTAGAGATTCATTCACATGTGACTGCAGGAGGTTTTAAACAAATTCCTACATTCTAGAATTGACTAGCTTTCATTATTTTGCAATTCTGATAATACCCACACTTTGCTTATTTATATGTTCTCTGATTTTTTTCTCTGTATATTAATTTTACATTTAAAATTACCATGATTTGTCTAGCAACCAGCTAGTTTTTGTGTTGTGACTTCTCCAAATATCACAGATTTGTTACAACAGTGCTCCCCCTCACCCTCAACCACCAAAAAACCGAGCCAGCAACCCACATCCTATGTGAATAACTCTAGATTTAAACAATTTAACATGGAGATTACTAATTACTTATGCTCTTCTCTTTTAAAAGGTGTGACATTCAGACCTTAAAGACTTCTAAATTGCAAGTGGAGCCTTAACATTCAGTTTTGAACCCTTACTGTTGATTTGAGCGCTTTCCTCAGAAGTACAGAGCTGCTCAAGCACAGTAGTCCAAAACTATTCAAGCATAGTATACAAGCAATGCAGAGTTAAATGTCCTGTTCCTACTAAAGTAAATGCCACAATAGGAAGCATTAAATGAAATTAAGCTGCCTGAAAGCAATGTAACTTTTCTTATGTCAGTGCAACTGTGTAGGAACTGGTAGTATGGCTTCACCTTGACTACTGTGTGCAGTCCTGGGCTCCGCTATTTCAGAAGGATGTGAAGGTCCTTGAATGTGTCCAGAGGGTAATAAAGCTGGTGAAAGAGCTGAAAAGAAAGTCCTGTGAGGAGTAGCAAAGGATTTTGGGCTCAACTTAGTTCAGAGACAAGGAAGCTGAGGGGTGGTGGTGTCAAGCTCCCCAAATGAAAAACTACTGTTAAAGAATATTACTACCAAATTTAAGTTCCTCACATTCAAATTTACCTTTGATTAATGAATGCTCATCAGAAGGTGGGAATTATTTGCATTAAGTTCAGATTACGTTCTAACATGAAATGTCACTGGAAGGTGAAACAATTTGGAAGATCATGGTAATACTTTGTACTTGTATAAAAATGTATGTATTGATGAGAAATATCAGTCTCATTTCTCAGTATTAAAGAATATTAGGTAACTTAAAAATCATAATATGGCAGATAAAATTTTGAAGGACTTTTTTGTTCATTAGATAAAAGTAAGCTTTCAGCTGTCTACTTATTACTTATTCTTTAAATTAGATTATTTTGATAGAAATTAAAATATATTTTAATGCTGTGGTGTCAGACTCCTGCATGTTTTCCAGTGGTTTGCTACCACACTTGCATAAGAATCATTAAAAGACAATGATCAACTTAGTAGACTATACTTTTCTGTTGGTCAGGGATGAGCAGCAGCTGTAAAGAAGACTGACACCTTGTAGTAATTTTTTTTCTATGTCATCCTTCCAATTTATCCACTGTAGACAGACTGGTAGCCCACAGAACATGGGATTATTTAATTAGGAAGATGATTTTTTATCAGCAAGTTAAAAGGATCAGCTTATGATCACTTACATTTTGAATGTTGCAAGAGGAAGTTACAGCATGACCTTTTTAGAAGTATGTTTGTAGAAAATGCAGGGTTAGGTTTTTGGGGTTTTTTTTGGTGAATTGCTAGCTCTACAAAATCTGTAGTTCTGAAAGGAAAACTGAAACTTACTTGCCTTTCAGTAATAATGGCCATCTTGCAAGCCAGGCTTATGCCTTTCATTCAGCTCTAACTGACTGTAGCTACAGTCAGCTCTTCCATGAGCAAATACACACAATTATTCTGTAATATCTGCATTGACTTTACAGTGTTATTCCTAGAATAAAAAGTAACCATAACACCCCTTAAGTGTAATGGAAGTGTGGAATTCCCATCTGATATGTGCCAACAGCTTTCAGCTGTTTGTGTGCCAAACCTGACCTGCTAAATGTTCCTGCTTCTGCTGTTAGTTTATACAGACTGACCTTGGCAGTGACTGTTTCACAGCCCCTTGTGCACCCAGTTTCTACATAAGCTCAGCTGTTTATTACACTTCTGTTTTAGAAGGGCTATGGCACCTCTCTTCTACTTCTGCTAAAACTTTGCTTCACTGTTGCATTTTGATTGCAGAGTGTGTAGTGACATAGTAGAGTCCATAGAGTAAGAGGCTTAAATGGGAAAGTCAAGGTTTCAAACAGAGGGAGAGGACTTAATTTCTTCCATATATTCCTGCTACCTCAAGAGATGATCAGGCTCATTGTGTGGAATCTTAGTGTTTGACAGCAAGGAAGATTTTTTCATATGCTGATGTTTTTTTAGTTTGCAGGTTATGTTGCTTTTGTTTCATAGGCCAGTAGTCATTCTCGTAGAGAGAGATGATGGGGTTACACTGCATTTGGGGTTTTTTTTATCAATTTAGGACAGGAACTATTGTTAATATTAATGCTACTGTTCTGTACGTGTGTGAATTTGGCTATAGGTTACCTTGGAAATTAGGTTCAGTATGGAAATAGGCATTAAAGATCTTGTTCTTGTTACAGATTGTGGGAATTAATAGTGATTATGACAAAATTATTTTTTGAGTAATTTTGTAATGCATACCTCACTGCAAGAAAAAAAAAAGTCTGAAAAAAAGAGGTATTGCTTCAATATTGCCAATACTGACAGTGTTCTAGATTGTTCTCTTCATCCAGCAAAAGGGTTTGGAAGGTAGCATGTTATCTCTCCTAGTTTTGTCCTAGGGTTTATATTTCAGAGGGATGTTTTAAAGGACCGTCTCCATTAGAGCTTTTTGTCTTATCCTTTGATGAACAGTTAATACTTTTCATTCTAAAAGGTATTTAACCTCTCTTTGCTAATGACTTTCAATTTGACTGTTGAAGTAAACTGTTTGCTTTCTTCAAATGTAATTAAAACTTCAGCAAAATGAGCTATAGGTAGAAAAACAAGATCTTCCCATTATATTTGTGTTTCTGTAATATATTGCTCATATGTGATTTACAGTCAAGGTAAACGGTTTTATAAAACCAAGATGCTTCCATTCTCTAGAGCTGGTGGCTGCTTCAGAAATTATTTAGCTAGAAAAAGGCAAGAGCAGAGTTGTTCTGCATTTTATTAGTAGCAAGTAGAAGACATGGAGTGCATTCCTCATCAGGGTGATTATTTATCTGAGATCTGCCAGGTTTGGTCCAGTCACATGAGGATTCCCTTTAGGGACTAGATGGAAACCAGTGCTGCAGGCATTCAGTGCAAGTGAAACCTTTTCAAGCATCCTGAAATGTAGGAGCTGCATTTGATTGACAAATGAGGGAAAGATCATATTAATCTTAATCTATTGTTTCTGTTTTTGTTTTTTGCTTGCCAGCTTTTCTGTATGCCTCCTGAAGCATTGGTGTTTGGGGGCATTCATTTGTACTCTCTGGAACTCCTACATGACAAATACCTCAATATTTTGGATGTTATAATTCTTCTTACAGGACAAAAGAAGCTTGTCTTATATAGTGTTTCTCAGTGCATGTCCCACAATGCAAGGAAAGAATCGTTTTGTTTAGTTGGAGACAGAAGAAAATGTCTTGTTGCTAAATGTCAACTGTAGTGAAATTAAAATACGCTATGTTCCATGTATTGACAGTGTTCTGTGGGAGTGGTTTACTAAAATGCAATCTCATGTGCATAGGATGTGGATTCCACCTGTGAAGCTGTTAATTCTTCCTGCTCCTCCATAGAATCCTGCCTTGTACTATTGAGAGTCAGCTTGGTCTGAGCCACTCTCATGTCTAGATACCTGCTGTAACTTCAACCAAATGAAAGTGCTGGGTATAGCTGGTGGGAATAGCTTCTGTTCGTGACAAAAATATGCAGACAGTTAAAATAAGATTTATAATATAGTAGATCTTTGAATAATTCGAATTATTCCTTTTTTTAACCAAAACAGAAAGAAGAAGGAAAAATTCAAGGGCAGCTTAATAAATCTGATTCTAACCAGTACATCAGAGAACTGAAAGATCAGATAGCTGAGCTGCATCACGAGGTGAGTGATATTATACTACAGTCTCTGATCACTTGTACCATTTGTCCTTTCACCTGTGGCAGGTTTTGCTTATTTAATAGTTATTACATCTTCAGTACCTGTTTTTGCTGAAGCACGTTATTTTAAATTAATGCGGTAAAACTCTCATACATGAATCTTGCCTTTATCTTGGAATGTAAGAGAACAAAACAGTGATTAGTTTTGTGATTTGACATTAAATGAGATTGGCATTTATGTTCCATCTTAACTTTTTTCCTTAATTTCATGAATTGATCATATTCATGCTGCATTTACTCCATTTGGAACTGCATATATGAAAATAAGCCCCTTGATGTCTTTATTTGGTACAACTGTTAAGGCCACTGTAGTTAGAAACTAAACCTCACTTTTGTGCAAGTAGAAGAATTCATACCTAAATTTTCTGGTTCTTGCTGTTGCAAGGACGAATTTTATGTGGTAGTATACTGAGATTGCTTAAAAAAAAAAGGATGCTTGCTTAATATCAGTTAACAGATTTTTAACTTTTAAACTGCCAAAACCTTCAATCTATGAAATGTCTGTCTTCAAACTTCCTTGCTCTAATAGTTGTAGTAACTTTCTGTTAGTTAAAAAGATCAGAAGGTCTTGAAACCGAAATGGCTTGTGTAACTCCTGTGTGCACTGGCTCATTTCAGTTCACGCTGCCTTGTGAAGAAATGTCTTTGCCCAATACTCCATCGTGTGCAAAATGCCTGCTCATCTTTGCACTAGAGTCTCTTTCCAGCCTTTTCATACCCAGCTCTGAGAATGTTGCTTAAAACCATAGGATTGAAAAGCAATTCAACCTAATTGTTTGTTGCCTTTTTGCTTTTATTAAATAAACACATCTTTTCTTTAAGTGTAGATAGTGTTTTCATAACAATCTGAGTAGATCCAAGCTTTTAGAATCAATCCCTTGAGACTTATAACACAGTTGAGGATCTTGGAATGTTGTCTCTGCTATAGATCACTCTGCTATAGATGTAGGGATAGTCTCTAGGGTCAGCAGTCCAGCACCTTTACTAATCATTAAGCTCACTTAAAAACAGATTTAAAAATCAATAACCTGGCTTTCTCCATTAAAGCACTCTAATTAGTTTTCTTTGTTGCTTGCTTGAAGAATTCCCAGAAAGCCAGATATTTAGTGTATTTTTGTATTAGGACCAAAATAAGGCACTGTACTGACTTTTTCCTCTGCTCACTGTAGGTTTAAAAGGTAAGAAACACTGCTTTGGGGGAAAAGTAGAATTATTCTTGGAAAGCTGTTGCATAATTTTCTCTATACAATCACCTGTTACATGCCTGGCTGAGCAACTGAATTGTCATGAAGGCAGGCAATATTGTACATCTTTAAATGTGTGTGAGTTAATATGAAGAGGTTGGGAAGAAGATGAGAGAAGATGTTCATAAGCTCACAGAATAATGATAATTCTAAGTAATAGCAGTGATTTCCTGCTTCAGTTCATTCTAGTCAAATCTTTATCAGCATTTCAATTTGGCAGAAAGGCAATGCTGTGAAGAACATGAATTTCAACAATAGCAGATTTTGAGTAATTTCATGTAGAAGAGCACTCATCTTCCCAGATATGTGCTTTGTGGTGGCTAAATTTTTAATTTCCAAGCTAGATAAACGCTATAGGAAGGAAGTCCTTCCAGGATATATAGGAACAGTAAGAAGGAATGGTTTGACTTGATGATTTCACAGATATTTTCTGACTAGTCATTCTATGATTTCATGAAACTCTGTATGTAATAGACATGTGCTACCTTGGCAGGATTCTGCATGCTTTTTACACAGACTATATTCAGGCCTGGAAGTCTTTGTTTACTAATGACTTATTTTTCCCTTTCCCCTTTACTGTTTCCCCCTATTTATTTGTCTAGTTTTTAAATCAAATCTTAAGAGGGAAAGCAGTATTTCCTCAAAAAGCAAAATCTGAAGAAAATGGCAACAGGAAGAGGCAAAAATGTTTGCTCTCAACTGCTAAATGTTAGAAGTATAATTCATTCAATGCTAGTTAAATAAACAACTTCCTTAAATCTGCACTGATGTGTCCTCATGCATACATCCATTAATGGCCATGCTCTTTGTTTTTTGGCTAGCTGCTTTCTGATTCTACTTCTGCAAAAGCTAAAAGAAACGTTACACATTTGCAAATGCATCTTCCTGAAGATAGGGTGATGGTGTTTGTGACATGCTGACCACAATCTCCAACTGGTTACCTTGTAAAAGGCACTGGAAAAGGAACAGAGCTCTTGGTGACTCTATGGTTACCTTCTAATACATTGTAATTGTGGAACTTTAAACTGCACATAAATGCAAATGGTAGTTAAAGCAAAATTTATAACTGAAGGTAGGGGTGGGACGGATATGTGTGAAACAAGGTGAAATGTCTTGGCATGGCCATCAGTGTTGATTCTGCATATTTAACTTTTTTCCCTCTCCAGCACTGCATTTTTACACCAAAAAAGTTGCAGGTTCTCCATCTGAAAGATGGAATAAAATAATGACCAAATTCTTTATTGAATACAAGTAACTGCTAAGTCCATATTCTGGCCTTTGGATAAACACTATTTCGTGCCTTTGGCCAGCAGTATGAATGTAAATGTTTCTGTGTCAGTGGAGCCTGGAGGAGCTAAATACTTTAATTCTATTCTGTGATATCATCCATCAGATGGCAATGATACCAAGTTTTGGCAACAACATGGTCCATCCTAATTGCAGAATTCTTGTGAAAGGTCTCCTGTTCCATCAGAGTTTGCAAGCCAGGCTAGTAGCCAGGCACAGGGAAATCTGGAATATCAGTGAGGAACACCAATAAGGACAGCAGAGAGTCACTATTACTGAGCAGTGTCTAAAGGTGAATTCTTCACTAAAAGGTGGGTTGGGAGTGGGAGTTTACTATGGTACAGGTGCATCAAGCTGCTGCTCTACTATCTCTCAACTTTCAGGGTGAGAAAAGTTTGGCCCTTAGTATTCAGATATTTCTCTCACTCATCCCAGTGTGATCACCTAAATCAGCTATGTGTTGGAACTCTGCATGTTGTATCAAATGATTAATCAAGGGATTCAGATTACAAAGTGCAATTGGTTGGAAGTTTTTGTAAGTATAAACAAAACTTCTGAAAAATCAAATTAATTTTGGTCACCTTGCCTGAGCTCAAAATTTTGCATGCTTCTGAAGAATAATGCAGCTTGCAGCCAAAAGGATAAATTTCAGCTGCTTTTACTACTCACCTAGGAATAGTAATGCTACAGTCGTCTTCAAATAATATTATAAGAAGACTTATTTGCAGTAAATTCAAGTTGTGTTCCTGTTTCTGAATAAAACTACACATAGTGGAAATTGGTAGTATGGCACCCAAACCTGAACCGATGAGCCACACTGGTATTAAATGTACAGGGTAATTAAATAGAAAAAGATGCCTTTTTTCTTACCGTAAAATTACTGTAAATTTAACACTGTAAATTCACTGCAATTTCAAACACTGTATAATTATTATAAATGGAATTATTGGATTTTTGTCTTGTTCTAACAAGCTGCCTGCCTGATTCCTTTTTTACCAAACCAGAGGATTTCTGTAGCATGGTAATCTGAGTTGAATATTAACTACTTCAGAGTAAGTATGAACACTTGGGGAGAACAGACAAAATTTGGAGCTTTGAGAACATTATAACCAGAAGTTGTCAACTTCTGCTCTACTAGGCTCTAGATTTCTGTAAACTTCTGCTTTACTGATGAACACTGCAGTGTTAAGTTAATGGTTGGACTCTGTAGAGGCCTTTTCCAACCTTTACAATTCTATGGTTCTATGCACATTGTCTTAAATCTGTTTACATGCACCTCTTTCTTTGCACTGATTTGAACAACCAAATACGGGTTAGAATATAAATATTAAGTATAATTTGTAATGTTATGTAAAATAGTGCATTAATTCTTAAATTCCTCAGTGCAACCATAACTCCACTCAGAAATCAAGTACATGTAGATCAATCATTACTTACTTGCATTTTGAATTAGTAAACATACCTGGTGTTATACTCATTCCCTAGAAAGTTACTGACAGCTCTCCTGTAATCTCTTACACAACCTATCAGTATTCAAAGAATAGCTGATGCATACTGAAAGGACACTCAGATTGAAGTGTTTCTAGTTAGCCAGTAGCTAATCCTGTGATCAGTCATGTATATTAAGTGCTGTACTTCCTTTCCTCCTTATTGGCTAAGTTTGTGATTTATTTGGCACCAAGTTGTTAGGTGGTTGTGACTTATGACTTTATTGTTGAAGGCTGAAACTATTGTGAAAACCTGAAATGATCAAGGATCATCACAAACATGACATCATGATGTAAACTTCTTTGAGAGCTTTCAATATGTACTGGCCTTAGACACTCTGCCTTCTCAGAATCTCGTGTTCAGTTGCCATTTGTTCTTTTCATTAACTGAAGGCTTTCTGCCTAGCATTTTCTTTCTTTTTCCTTTTTCCTCCCATTCTTAAAGCTATCTCTGCAGCATTCTTGACTTCTAGCTTAGTGGGATTTTAACTTAAAATGCTTTCTCAATGTGCAGCTCCTGCAGGCTGCAGCTTCTGTCAAGCAGCTTTTGTTACTCTTGTCAGTAAGTACAGAAGCTTGGCTGCCCTGTGTTTGGTACAGGAGAAATAAGGTGTAGTGATCAGTCTGTTCTGTCACTTGACCTCCCAGTTCTTGTGCTTTAACTGATGTAACATAAATGGCCTGAGCACACAGACCCTTTAAGGTTGTCCTGTGCTTAGATACTTGCAGGCTGCACCAGGAATGCTAACATTTCACAGAAGTTGCCTTTGATTAGATACAGAAATGTTATGTGAAAGCAACTTCTGTGAAACATTTTTACTGTTCAAGAGAATAGATCACTAAGTAGGTAGTACTGAAGTAAAGCTGTTAAGCTATATGGAAATGAATACATTGGAAGTTTGGCCTATTACGAGTTTCCATTAAGT